GCCGTTGGCTAGTTTCTTACAACATATTAAATCCATTGTATGAAATACAAAGCGAAATAGTAGATAAATATAATCACAAAAGTACGCACTCATTGAAATCATTTTAGTATATTAACTAGCGGCCCGCCCCGGCTTCGCACGGGTAACAATAAGTTTAACAAAAAATTAAAAATTATCATACACACATAAAACCTTCCGAATGTTTCGTCTGTGGTGAATAATTTTATGAATTTCTTAATCTTTTAATGAAATATCCTTGAAATTAAGTTATGAAGATCGAAAGATCGCTGACCAGATAATGGTTCCGCTTTAATTACGGGACATTCGGGGTTACACGTAATAGTGACAAATAAGTCTGGTCTCCCATAGCTTCAGACATAAATCATCGCATCTTAGGTTTTTTAATGCAGATAATTCGGAGAACCTGTAAATGAATATGACGTTGCAGATTACGCGTTGACCGATATTTGATGGGCCAATGTCTTTTTTTAAAGCATCTCTAAGATGAATGTATCACCAGACCTCATTCTCTGGTTATTACAACATAATATGTAATTTCATCTTTGTGATATCTTTTTGCCATTATATCGACAATGTATTGAATTAAAACTGGCCAAGTGCGAGTCGGACTCGCACACGAAGGGTTTTCGTACCTCCGACCCACAGAAGACCGTCTGGTGAGAGAGGTTGACGGGGCCCACTTTATTTAAAGATGGCAACTCATTTGCAACCCTACAGGTGTTGCAAATGTCCATGGGCGGCGGTTATTACTTAACATCAGGTGAACCGCCAGAACGTTTGCCCCTCTATCACATTAAAAAAAATCATGTTTTATTATCTTTATTCAATATAGAAGTATTACACTTACATATTGTCAAAAACACTACTACTGTCAACATTCTCTATAAAAACGGCCAAAAAATTATGTCTGTTTTATGGGAGCCCCACTTATTTATATTTTTTTTTGTTTTTTGGTATTTTTTGTTATAGCGGCAACAGAAATTCATCGTTTGTGAAAATTTCAACTGTCTAACTATCACGATTCATGAGACATATGGACAGACATACGGACATACAGACGGACAGCGGAGTCTTAGTAATAGGGTGCCGTTTTACCCTTTGGGTACGGAACCCTGATAAGTCCCAGTAATAATGCAATGGCTTAAAATGCATGTCATAGTTTGGTTACGCACAGTACCTTGCTGAGGGATAGTCAAATATTAACCGTCTTCTCCTATTACGACTATTAAGGGATATTTTTATGGATCATACAATCGGTGTTACTCAGAGACCCTTTTAAGTTGGCCGTGTCTACCGTGCAACACTATATCTCTGGAGCCTTTTTAAGATGCCGTACCCAAAGGAAAAAACGGGACCCTATTACTAAGACTCCGCTGTCTGTTTGTCCCTTTGTCAACAGGCTGTATCTCATGAACCATGTTAGTTACACAGTTGAAATTTGATCTGGGTATTTGTTTCCCAAGGAGGGTTGACGTCAAGCAGGCGGCTGGTTGTAAAAATATAGGCAAAACCACTTACAACATGATTCATGTTGTGCCGACCCCACCTAGATGGGATAGGGGCAGGAGGATGATGATAACTTGCATACTTGTCCCTCTATTTTAAAAGTTCGCGTCAAACGAAGTCATTTGAAAGAGGCTATTGTACTTTCAAATGTTGGTTAAAAATGTCCTGATGGTTAAAAAAAATTATTATTTGTAAAAAGAATTTTTATTGGTTGTGGTGGCTCCTCAATATTGGGGGGACTAACTTTTCCAGAAGCACAGCACATACCATTTGGTTCATCGACCCATTTTTGGCAGAACACTTAGAGCAGATCTTATTCGTGGCTACGATTTGGACGGAAGACTGTTGAGCAAAATGCATGAAAGCTGATCTGTTTTAATTGTAATTACTGTGAGCTAAAACTCGATCACGAACTCCAGTCGTCGACGTTTGTTATCTTTCTCTCTAATCTCATGTACGTTGGGAACGCTCAGACCTCGATTCCCTAGTGTGAATTTGTATATTTATATTATTATACTCTTCAAGCCACAGCAAACACTCTACTTGACTCTCTCCGACTTGTAAGACGATTTTCAGTTTCCGGTAAAGATTCCTCATTATGACGTATTTTTAATGTCCTCGCCTGCGAACTATTTCTAGAAAGATGAGATCTTGATCTTTTGGGCATTTTAAAATGATAAAAAAATTAAACTTCCTCAGTATTTAATAATTTGCTAACTGTTGAACAGGAATTACCAGTATAAATATCATTGAAAACTTATAAGAACTACTAAGTCAGTCACTAAGCTGTTTGGATAGTTAAATTACAATATACTAACATTTTTAAACTTGCAATATCTAAGGAATGGAATGTCCGAATTTAATAATTCAAAAAGTTTTTTAAAGATATTGAAACAGTCTTAAATATGAAGTAATTTATTTTTAAAAGGATTAATACCGAGATACAATAAACAGCCTTTGTTAGCGGCGGCATTTCAATCAAAGTTTTAAAATAAAAGAACACTTATTGTGGCATAACTATAATAGTTAGACATATGCTGTCGCGACACTTTTTGTAAATAATGATGTGGTCTGCAAAGTCGTAGTACATTACTTTATTCTATCATCAATAGTTTTCGCAGCGCACGCGATGTAAAGAATATTTTAGGTAATTTTTGTACACCTTGAGGATCCCTAATTTTTTGAAAATATTATATAGCCCATGTGAAGCAAGGATAATGTAGCTTCTCAACAGTGAAAGAATTTTTCAAATCGGTTAAGTAGTTTCGGAGCCTATTCGATACATACAAACAATCAAATCTTTCCTCTTTATATAATAGAGAAAGATATACAATGTTCTAAAACATAAAATCCACAATTAGATCACTTACAACCCGCGTGCTAGAAACACTACAAACAAAGCCAAGGTACCTATAACTGTTGAACAACAATCGAGCGCACTGGTGCCAAGTATCACTCGTGGAATAATAACAATGTAAACTGAGAGCCATCTTAATTGGCACAAAGTCAAATTTTCAAATGTCCAATTAAACAAGGAAATCCTTCGTACGCAAAACTACACAATTCAAATCAATTGCTATACAAAAAAAAATCGAACTAATTTTTTACTGCAATTTAATGAAAAGAACGAATAAAAAATAATATGCAAGCAAACATAGTTTCAATTGTTAAAGACAATCAGTCATAAGGATAAGTTAACTGTTAAAGTGATAAATTTAGATTTGTTAATAGTTTTCTTACTAAATTAAGTTTACCTGCGTAATTCATGAAATCTTTGTATTAAAAAAAAACAGTCAAGTGAGAGTTGGACTCGCGCACAAGCAAATCATGTCTGTTGTATGGGAGCCCCACTCAATTTTTTTTTATTTGTTTTTTAGTATTTTTTCTTAAAGCGGCAACAGAAATACATTATATGCCTAACTCGCGGTTCATGAGATACAAGCCTGGCGATATGAGATACAGTTTTCTTTTGACGTTTTAGGGTTTTATCCTAAGCGTAGAGTAAACACTCAAATAAAATTTAAAACTAGAGACGTCGCTTATGCTATTCAAATTTAATTCTTAAGTGGTAGTGACTGCGTTGATTTTGAGACAAAACAAATCGCCCCATCGAAAACATGGGAAGAAGTACGGGATAAAATAAACAATGTTTTATCTCGTCCCTACAAGGGACGGAAGCCTTCTTCGGAGGCTTTCTTCTTATTCTGCGAATGCTCGGAATGAGTGGATGAAGTTTGCGACCCCCGCTTAGAACAACAGTACCAAGTTAATTAACAAACAAAACAAACGAGCCCGCCGCTCTTGAATTATGTATGCGGTTAGTAACGCACCGCTGACCGCCTCAGCCTTGGATCTTAATGCTTTGTAAGCGGTTGGGGTGAACAGACGATCGCTTCTTAAAATGGTCCATGATTACACTCGATATTAGAGTGCCCTGTAAAAAAAGGAAATAATAATAAATATAAAATATTTTAGGACACATTCTTTTTACACAACGTTCTCTAGTCCCAAACTAAGCAATGCTTGTACTATGTGTACTAGAAAACTGATAGACATACTTAAACATACATTTCTTTTGTAAATAAATACACATTATACATATATAATCACCCAGACACTCGAAAAACACTTTGCTCATCTCACAATATTTTCCAGTGGTGGGGATCGAACCCACACTCTCTGGCGCAGAAGGCAGGTACACTACCGACTACGCCATTCGGGTCGTCGAAATAAGAGCCTAATGTCCTTTTGCTGGGTTAAGTACTCCTATGGTATTAGAACCTAGTCCACGTGACTCAACTGCGGATTGGCAAAAGACTTGTATATTAATATAATATTATGTTAAAACTAATAAAAATAGTCCTCAGTACCATTTAATCTAACTGGCTAGATAGAAAAAGCGTTCGACGATGTTCTAATGATATTGTTTAATTGTTATATATGGTAAGCTGGCCATATATAACAATTAAACAATTAAAATTTAAAAAAAAATTAAATTAAGGCCCCGATTTGGAAAGGAACAGATCGGGGACAGTAGTTTACTCGCGACAGATGTTTGAAAAACGAGTGTCTGCTTGGTTTACCTCTCTAAGATTCGTAATTCCCAGGCGCCACAATGCTGATGTCGTGAAATGCTAATAATATTCATCATCACAAAAGTTTTCCGCTGCTGCGCTGTTTCCTGCAGGATACGCGCCCCCACGCTCTAGCCACTGAGCAACATCTTCTTTTTTTAAAAACATTGCCCTTACTTTGGGATAACACTATCCTGTATTGTAAGGACGTTTTTACAAACATAAATTGCACGAGGACAAACACCCCGATGCGGAACAACTAACTATCTGTGGGCCACACAAATAGTTGTCCCGTGTGGGAATCGAACCCACGACCCCCGAAGCCGATGACTGGTGACTGCGCCACGAAGTCATCTCAAAACCGACAAAATATTATCGACTTGTCTCTATTGTTCGTAGAACCTAGACGAGGTGCATATAGCGCTGGAGGTGTGCACGGAGCCCAGGGTGATGAACCCTGGCGCCGGAGGTGCCATGCCCGTTCCTGGCAAGTACAGCTACATTCACAAGGTGATGTATTTACTCTGGGTATATTGAACATAATTATGTCAATTCGAGACCACTGTAATATTTTAGAGCCGTAGCGGTTGCTGCTATTTTATGAGCCGCTTACCGGGGAAGCAATACAATCTAGCAGTAGAGTAGCGTAAAACTTAAATAAGCATTTATTTACTCAACATTATTTAGCCTCAAACCTGGCAAAGCTTGTACGTGCATACGATAAATGATCTATATATTTAATGTACTTTTGCAACACAGTAGAAAATGTGTACCATAAGTGCACGATTTTCCGCTTTCCTCATCCAACCACTAGTAGTAGAGGGCCATCCCACACTACGTTTGCCGAGACATGGTCTCCATTCGAGAACGTGTCTACTCCGACTTATGTACGTATGGCATTACTATCCCACTTTCTATCAAGTGGGATAGTAAAGCACTATCCATTCGCGATAGCGAAGATAGATAGAACACAAGGAAATATTTTTTTAAACTATCAAAGCAGTCCGTCGCAATGTCAATTCAAGGTCACCCGGCGCATTCCAGCCGGCCAGCGATTAGCGTTTTCTTCAAACACGGCAGTACGATTGTGATCTTTATTGTCAACAGGTGATAGACGGTATTTCCGTGGCAGTGAACCAGGTGCAAATTGACTTCAACTGTGACGCCTTCACTAGCAGCGTTCAGGTGAGTGTCAGCTTAATTTAGCACTCGTTGTGAATAATTCTCAAACTGTTACTGGCGGGAAACTGCCCGCGAAAGAATTCCATTAAAAGTGTAACGGACAACATTGTTTAGAGATAGTCTCTTAAAACACGGTAACCTCTGTTCATTATGTTTCAAGAGTAGAAGATTTATATTGACACGTAAAATAGGTTTTATAAATTTCGGCATTTCGCCAGAATCAATTACAAATGTTGTTTTCCTCAACTGCTGAGCACGTGATAAATCGGCTCTTAATATTGCAATTAAGTTGTTCGTTCATTGTTGTATATGTCAAATTATTTCATTTTTTTTTACAAAACGATAATATGACACCTACATATTTACGGTTCTTTGCTCGCTAAAAATAAAAAAATAAAACATTCTAATCAGCCGTAGTATGTTTCGAAAAATTATATTTTATGTCCACTAATGCAAGCTATTATTGCTTGCCTTAGTGGACACGAACAGTTTCAATGTGAATCCTTGGATAATTTTAACACACTATTCACTTGAACATAGAACAATAGGAAAGCTTTCGGGTCATTAATTTTTAATGGAGAGACAGGGAGAGAGAAACATACAGAGCTATTGGCATCCGTTTAAATAAGAAACCTCTAAAGATAGATATGAATAGGTTGTTGAGGTTAATTTAGTCTTTACATGTATTCGGGATAAAGTTTGAAGGTTTTACAAAATCACGTGTCTTCGCTTCAGATCTCTCGTGTGACAGTGGAGTCGCGAACACCCGAGGGCCGGAAGGGTGATCTAAGACTGACAAGGATCAAGTCTCCCGATACCGGGCAACTTTTGATATTTAAGGTGGGTAAGACATCGCTAAGACCGCCCCCTATTAGATGGAGTGACGACCTGTGCAAGTGTGCGTGAAGTCGATGGATGCAGGTGGCTCGGGATCGTGTTTTGTGGTGGTCTGTGGGGGAGGCCTACTTTCAGCAGTGGACTCTAACAGGCTGAAATGACGATGATAATCAAGACAACACTTCGTTTTTTTTAATAAGACTGCAGATTCTGCTTAGAACGGTCCTCTCTCCAAATTGCGACGGTTATTGCTTATTATTTTTATTTTGAAAATGTGTTATTATTATTAATTCGATAAATTAATATAAATACAAACAATCATCGACATAAGAAACATACATTTCATCTATCTATAGTATTAGTGATTATTTGAATGATAACTCACTCTGGAAATGAATTGATCGCTCCAGGCTCTTTCAAGTGGAATTCAATAAATTGTACACATATTTGTAATTTTTTTGTCAAGTAAAAAAAAATGTTCCGCTGAGTTTCTTAAGCCGGTTCTTCTCAAGTCAGTGGCTTTCCTTCCGAACCGGTAGTATAGTTTTTTGACTATCAATAAGTAAGTGTATGCTTCTATATTGGATAAAGATATTTGACTTTGACTTTGAGTCATTTTTTAAATCTACCGTTTCGTAATGAGGTTTCTCTAACGGAGAGAAGACTTCTTTCGCCTGTCTCCTTACACTTTACAGTGTAATAAAAAAAATAAACCTACACAGTAATTAGCACTCGTGTTATGTTCGCGTAATTCCATGAAAACCTTAACTTTGTTATTAACAAATGTTATCACGTTCTCATCTTTAGAGTTACAACTGAATGTTGCAACTCGTGTTTTCCACTTTTCGTCGGGGTTTTATAAGCACGTAGCTTGAGATCCAATCCTTGGATTCGATTTCAGATTGCGAATAGCTTAAGTATTTGTTATGTAGGCATCTGTTTATGACGGTTTTCGTATGGGGCTCCCCCCACCATAATTTCTAATATACTCCGCCTCCCGGTAGGAAGGATCGGTTATGTGCGAATCGCACTGAATAAAAGTCCTCCGTTGTCACTTTCTGTGCTTTGGTGGGCTCCGGGATCCCCCGCTGAACGCCTACACGACACCTAAACTAAATCAGATAGATGCATCTCCACTCATCATCATCTGCTCTACGGCAATAGTGTTATCCTTTAAACGAGCAATTCTTGTATATATATATATATATATATATATATATATAATCGGAATCTCGGAATTGGCTCCAGCGATTTTCATGAAATTTAGTATGTGCGTAGATTCGGGGACGAAAAATCGATCTATCTAGGTTTTATTTTTAGAAAATGTCCTTTTATCCCTGTTTACAGGGAATGAAAAATATCATTTTAGGCCGGTTTATATGAAAAAAATTATAATAGCTCGGTCGGGAATCGGGCGGCCCCAAAACAGACGCCCGTGGTTCTTATCACGATCATTTACACACTTATTTTTTTACTTTTTTTCGATACCAGATCATTTTCTTTATTTTTTTTTGTTTATTTCCAAAATACATAATTTACAAAAAAACACCGAGCAAAGCTCGGTCCTCCAGGTACTTTAACTTATTAACTGAAAATTTATTAATACTTTTACTTCACACGGTGTTCCTTACAAACGGCAGACAGACTTATATAAGTGATGAATATAATAGAGGTAAGCGGGGAAAACGACTGTCCCGAGAATTCAATACCACGTTCAATTCAACTGCGCCAAGGAGTCCTCAGACTGTCTCCAAGGAGTCTATTGCCCGGTTCCTATATTCAACGCACGGCTGTTAGTTACATAACTAACAGCCATAACATACGTAGCTTTCATAACGATTCGTTGTAACGACTTCATAATGAAAATATAACTAACGGCCGTTCGTTGAATATAGGAACCGGGCTTATTTATGTGAGACTTATCTAGTCCAGCCAGCCTATTCACAAAATGCCGCTTGTGTTCTCCCACTTAACTTTAAAATTCTGATGCCTTGTTGCTTCCAGGAGTTGGAGTGGCAGAGCGCGAGGGTTGAAGCGAAAGCGCACGGGGCTGCGGCGGCCAACCTGCCACCGTTGCGTCTCCTACTGGGCAACACGCATTGCAGGATCGTGATCAAGAAACGGCTATCTGGTGAGGGATCTCCTTACCTGGCTGTAGTAGGGCCACGCGGCAGCTTCGGCTGTTGCACAAATGGGCAGTTCCTTGGAAGTACCACGACGTAACGAAGAGCGGCGTGAAGTGGGAGTATTATACTTTTCCTTTTCGCCTGGTGAGCGAGTTCGTGGTTTCACGGGTGTTGCAGACGTCCATGGGCGGCGGTTATCGCTTAACATCAGGTGAATCCCCAGCCCGCTTGTCGTCTTCTTACATAAAAGAAGGGATCTCGTGATCATGGGGCAGGAAAGCATCTATTGTTGTGTTACCGTCACAGTAGATGCTCTCACAGCAGATTTTATTACAGTATTTTCCTCTTGAAATTCACCAGTCCATGAATTATCCTGTGTTGTTATAATAACCCAGATCCGAAAGAAAGTCTGTGTGTCACACAAATGGTCGTCCCGTGCGGGAATCGTACTCACGACCACCGGCACACAAGCCTTTGCATCTGCACTGCGAAGTCAATCAAATATTTATTGGTAGGGCCAATAAAATGTTTTCAACTCTGCATTGCGGTACTTGCAATAGTTGCTTTTGTCCTTATATCTCTGGAAGAGACACCTCTTATTTAGAGGCATAGCCTAGCCTGTGGGGAATGCTAGTCGCTTTATGTAGTTAGTAATAAGGTCTACATTGGCACGTTTCTATCTGTCGCTCAGACTGCGCGATGACGGGCTCGCGTCTGGTGCTGAGTGCACCTTTATGTAATTATTAATAAGGCCTACATTGGCACGTGTCTATCTGTCGCTCAGATTTGCTCGCCTCTGGTGCTGAATACACCTTTATGTAGTTAGTAATAAGGTCTACATTGCCACGTGTCTATCTGGCGCTCAGACGGGCTCGCGTCCCGCTGCTGAGTGCTCCTTTATGTAGTTAGCAATAAGGTCTATCCGTTGCTCAGACTGCGCGGTGACAGGCTCGCGGCTGGTGATGAGTGCTCCTTTATTTAGTTACCAATAAGGTCTACATTGGCACGTGTCTATCTGTCGCACAGACGGGCTCGCGTCTGGTGCTGAGTGCTCCTTTATCTAGTTAGTAATAAGGTCTATATTGGCACGTGTCTATTGTCGCTCAGACTTGCTTGCGTCTGGTGCTGAATGCACCTTTATGTAGCTAGAAATAAGGTCTACACTGATACCTATCTATCCGTCGCTCAGACTGCGCGGTGACGGGCTCGCGGCTGGTGCTGCGGCCCGAGCCGCTCGCGTGGGCGCTCACTGACGGCCAGCTGCGGGCCGCGCTCGCGTGCGCGGCAGCCCTGTCGGGGCCGGTGCGGCGCGCCACGCGGGCCGCCACGCGCGCCGCCGCCGCCAGGAAGGTGAGAAAGAAAGAAGGAAAGAAAGAAAGAAAGAAGGAAGGAAGAAACGTTTATTCACGTTCTTATCGCAATGGATACATACATTTCACGGAAGGCCCACGCAGCAGCCTCGGTAGAAAGATGGTCTACACTGATACCTATCTATCCGTCGCCTCATACTGCGCGGTGACGGGCCTCGGTTGTTGCGCGAAAGGGGAGGCTCGTCCGGGTAAGTACCACGATCTGGCACAGGACCGGCGTAAAGTGGAAGTATAATACTTTCGCGCCTCGTCTGGTGACTGGGTGGCCGGAGCCCAATTTTCAAAAGGTTGTCAACGCATTTAGAACCCTCGGGTGAAGCATATAAAGCTTCCTCTTGAATCCCCCTAGCTAGTACAAAAAAAAACCGCATCAAGATCCGTTGCGTAGTTTTAAAGATCTAAGCATGCATAGGGACATGCAGACATCAGGACGAATTTGTTTTATACTATGTAGAGCATTGTTATATACATTGCCCCCGTGCAAAACCGGGGCGGGTCGCCAGTATTTTATAAGTCGTCTCTTCAACGCGCTGAACTGTTACAGATCGAGGAGCCCCGCGAGCAGCCGCCCAGCCGGCCCACTTCTGGGGACCGGGACTTGTTGGCGCGCATGTTTCGCCAAGCACGACGTGCGGGAGACCTCGTACCATCTGCTCGCGCCGCGGATAGACCTCCACCTGTGCGATGACCCGGGACGTGAGTTCAGCTTAGAGTGTTTCCGTCTCGCTCGCGCCGCAGCCTATACAGCTATCTGTCTCGCTCGCATGACGTAACGTGTACTGTTGCGCTCAGCGTCGTTCTTCTGTTTTGGTTTTATTCGACAGTAAGGACCTAGTAATGGGAATTTTGCACGCGACGTTACAAGCGCGTGTCCTGCGCTTGTATTAGAGTTATGCGTGACTGTGCACTGTTGTGAACAGCGTTGTTACTCCGTTTTAGTTTCATTATACAATAAAGAACTAATAACTAGACTTTTACGCGCGAAGATACATGCGCAGAACAAGTAGGCCTGCATATTAGAGTTATTTGTGAACAGTACATATCGCATATCGCGGGTACTGTTGCGAGCAGTGCCGGCAGCATTAACCAATAAAGAACTAATAATAATAATAAAGTATATAACTTTTGTACGCGTAGATACATGCGCAGAAAACGGGGCAGCGTGATTTGAACTTAGGTTTACGATTATATTGAATTAAAAGCGGGCACCCTGACACTGAACTATCAAATAATTTATATATAGGTATACGTATTTTAGCTAAGAATAGGCTACTGTATCCGTTTTTACGATGACAGTTGCCAAGGTATTGGCTTCGGCACCGGGGGTCGTCCGTTCAATACCCACTCGAGACAACTATTCATGTGACCCACAGATGTGTGTGATTATGTGTGTGATGCGTCCTTACAACATGGGATAATGTAATCCCACAGTAATTTTTTCGAAGGGAACACCACAATAGATCTTTCTAGATCATTGGTCGTTGGGACTTGTACGCAACCCCTCCCACACGAATCAACCAATGAATCCGTTTATATTTTTACCGATGTTACGATGACCAGTCGGCAGGTCTGAGATGCCCTCGCTGGCGAAGGGCGGCGCCCTCCAGGTGACCCTCGTGAGCATGCAAGCGGACCTGTTCCCCTACCACAAGGCTTCCGACGACCGCCGACACTGGCGGGGCTACAGGTGAGCGCGTGCGCTTTTCGGCCGAGTGTACGCCACGTTTAGTTTCTTCGATCCGTTGTGTCCGATATGTGCTTATAATTTCTTAATAATAAATGCACACATTTTATTGATCAATCCAGATAAAGTTCTTATCCTCAAAGTTTATTACCAGGACACGATTTTGACGAGGAAAACAGATGGTAGGAGATTAAACATTCTTACAATTCCCAATCCCCTTTCTTAGAAATAGTTCAACAACACAAGTAATAGACAATAGTAATAATAGTAGTAGTTTTACATAAAACTATTTTTTAATATCAACAAGCTTAAAAAGCACTTTACCCCTACTTGTAAACTACATAAAAACGGCATTACATAATTTTTACTCTGTATACAAAATTAAAGAATTCGTAAGAATGTGTTTAAGAATCTTATCCTTTAAACGAGCAATTCTTGTATATATATATAATCGGAATCTCGGAAACGGCTCCAGCGATTTCCATGAAATTTAGTATGTGCGTAGATTCGGGGGCGAAAAATCGATCTAGCTAGGTTTCATTTTTAGAAAATGTCCTTTTATCCCTGTTTTCACGAAATGAAAAATATCATTCGAATATGACGGTAAATTTCGCCGCAAGAGAAAATGTCATAATAGCTCGGTCGGTAATTGGGCGGCCCCAAAACAGACGGCCGTGGTTCGTGTCACGATCATTTCCACCCTCTTTTTTTTTTAACTTTTTTTTGATTCCAGGCCATTGCTTTCTTTATTTTTTATTTTTGTTGATCCAGAGAATTTTGTTATTTTTTTTTTCCCTTTTTTTTAAAGTTGTTTTTTTTTTGTGAAAAACCACTTCATATTTTTCTTATTATTAGGTCGGTAAGATCGAAAAATATTATGCATATTTCATTACTCAGTAATTTTTATCTAAATGTAATTTCCAAAATACACGATTTACCAAAAAAAAACAAACCGAGCAAAGCTCGGTCCTCCGGGTACTATTAATTATACGACAAAGTCAGCACTAAGTAGTCCACTATCCCCGCTTGGTATTGAGCGAGAGGATTTTTTTGTGTCGCCAGCATTAAGAATAATTAAATAAATCTATTATATAAAGAGGAAAGATTTGATTGTTTGTATGTATCGAATAGGCTCCGAAACTACTTAACCGATTTGAAAAATTCTTTCACTGTTGAGAAGCTACATTATCCTTGCTTCACATAGGCTATATAATATTTTCAAAAAATTAGGGATCCTTACTAAAACTCCAATAATGTTACTCAAGGTGTACAAAAAATTACCTAAAATATTCTTTACATCGCGTGCGCTGCGAAAACTATTGATGATAGAATAAAGTAATGTACTACGACTTTGCAGACCACATCATTATTTACAAAAAGTGTCGCGACAGCATATGTCTAACTATTATAGTTATGCCACAATAAGTGTTCTTTTATTTTAAAATTTTGATTGAAATGCCGCCGCTAACAAAGGCGGTTTATTTGTATCTCGGTATTAATCCTTATAAAAATAAATTACTTCATATTTAAGACTGTTTCAATATCTTTATAAAACTTTTTGAATTATTAAATTCGGACATTCCATTCCTTAGATATTGCAAGTTTAATAATGTTAGTATATTGTAATTTAACTATAAAAACAGCTTAGTGACTGACTTAGTAGTTCTTATAAGTTTTCAATAATATTTATACTGATAATTCCTGTTCAACAGTTAGCAAATTATTAAATACTGAGGAAGTTTAATTTTTTTATCATTTTAAAATGCCCAAAAGATCAAGATCTCATTTCTAGAAATAGTTCGCAGGCGAGGACATTAAAAATACGTCATAATGAGGAATCTTTACCGGAAACTGAAAATCGTCTTACAAGTCGGAGAGAGTCAAGTAGAGTGTTTGCAGTGGCTTGAAGAGTATAATAATATAAATATACAAATTCACACTAGGGAATCGAGGTCTGAGCGTTCCCAACGTACATGAGATTAGAGAGAAAGATAACAAACGTCGACGACTGGAGTTCGTGATCGAGTTTTAGCTCACAGTAATTACAATTAAAACAGATCAGCTTTCATGCATTTTGCTCAACAGTCTTCCGTCCAAATCGTAGCCACGAATAAGATCTGCTCTAAGTATTCTGACAAAAATGGGTCGATGAACCAAATGGTATGTGTTGTGCTTCTAGAAAAAGTAGTCTCCCCAATATTGAGGAGCCACCACAACCAATAAAAATTCTTTTTACAAATAATATTTTTTTTTAACCATCAGAACATTTTTAACCAACATCCGAAAGTACAATAGCCTCTTTCAAATGACTTCGTTTGACGCGAACTTTTAAAATAGAGGGACAAGTATACAAGTTATTATCATCCTCCTGCCCCTATCCCACCTAGGTGGGGTCGGCACAACATGAATCGTATTGTAAGCGGTTTTGGCTATATTTTTACAACCAGCCGCCTGCTTGACGTCAACCCTCCTTGGGAAATAAATACCCAGATCAAATTTCAACTGTGTAACTATCATGGTTCATGAAATACAGCCTGGTGACAGAGGGACAAACAGACAGCGGAGTCTTAGTGATAGGGTCCCGTTTTACTCTTTGGGTACAGCATCCTAAAAAGGCTCCAGAGATCACGGTAGACACGGCCAACTTAAAAGGGTCTCTGAATTACACCAATTGTATGATCCATAAAAATATCCCTTTATAGTCGTAATAGGAGAAGACGGTGAATATTTGACTATTCCTCAGAAAGGTAGTGTGCGTAACAAAACTGTGAAATGCATGCAATTGTATGCACTTAGGTTGATGGTTAGAGCTACCTGTTTTAAAGACGGTTTACTTTCAGGGTTCCGTACCCAAAGGGTAAAACGGCACCGTATTACTAAGACTCCGCTGTCCGTCTGTATGTCCGTATGTCTGTCCATATGTCACCAGGCTGTGCCTCATGAATCGTGATAGTTAGACAGTTGAAATTTTCACAAACGATGAATTTCTGTTGCCGCTATAACAGAAAATACCAAAAAACAAAAAAAAATATAAATAAGTGGGGCTCCCATTAAAACAGACATAAGTTTTTGGCCGTTTTTATAGAGTAATGTTGACAGTAGTAGTGTTTGTGACAATATGTAAGTGTAATACTTCTATATTGAAAAGACATAAAGTATGTTTTTTTTGACAATATGTAGAGGGGCAAACGTTCTGGCGGTTCACCTGATGTTAAGAAATAACCGCCGCCCATGGACATTTGCAACACCTGTAGGGTTGCAAATAGTTGCCATCTTTAAATAAAGTGGGCCCCGTCAACCTCTCTCACCAGACGAAAAGTAGAAGTATAACACTTCTATTTTACCCCGGTCTTCTGTGAGGTCGGTACGAAACCCTTCGTGTGCGAGTCCGACTCGCACTTGGCCAGTTTTAATTCAATACATTGTCGATATGACGGCAAAAAGATATCATAAAAATTTAATTACATATGAAGTAATCACCAGAGACTGAGGGCTGGTGAAACATTCATCTTAGAAACGCTTTAAATCAAGACATTGGCTCATCAAAAATCGGATCATCAGACATCGGTCAACAAAAAAACCAAAGATGTGATGATTTATGTCCGAAGCTATGGGAGACCAGACTTATTTGTCACTTTTACGTGACGTAATATCAAGGGTATTTCATTAAAAGATGAAGAAATTCATAAAATTATTCGCCAAAGATGACTTGATGACTCCGTGACGCAGTTGCCAAGGTATTGGCTTCGGCGTCGGGGGTCGTGGGTTCGATTCCCACACGGAACAACTATTTGTGTGACCCACAGATAGTTGTTTCGCATCTGGGTGTTTGTCTGCGTGAAATTTATGTTTGTAAAACGTCCTTTACAACACAGGATAATATTATTCTAAAGTAATGGCAATGTTTTGAAACAAAGAGAAACAAAAAAGACGAAATATTCAGAAGGTTTTATGTGTGTGTATGATAATTTTTATGTTTTAAAATTTTTGTTAAATACCCGTGCGAAGCCGGGGCGGGCCGCTAGTATTATAATAAGATTAATTAAATAAGATTATTTAAGGCACGAGCTGTTTTTGCCCAATATATCGATCGAAGAGTTGTGTACATAGAGCTTCAGTGTTGCCATAACAGAGTCCTGAATGATGCGTGTGACTGTTTCAGGGAAGCGGCAACACCGCACAGCCAGTGGCTATCACAAGCTTTATCGTCCTTCTGCACCTCACTGCTGGACGCGTTAGACCCTAGAACCCTAACACCCAGTAATAAGGTATATTTTGCGTTCGCTTTCGTCCTTTGCCGCATTGGTGACGTCATCGCTAGAAGAGTCGTTTCACTCATTTCATTGTACCGTTTCGGTTTAAAATAGGTATTATTAACTAAATATTTAATGGTACGTAGGCGGGATGATAAGTAACTAGCCATTGCTATTTAAAAATATATATGATAAAATTAAAAAAATATATGTGTCATTTTTAAATTCGTATCTCTGGCCACCTGTGTTCTAAATTTGAATTAGGTGGCGTGAAAATTTTATTGTTTTTTTGTCATTTGAAAATATATTTCGTCAACTATTTTCAAAATGGATAAAATTGAACAGAGAGCGGTGATAAAGTTTTCTTCATATGAAGGGGATGAAGGCGAAAGATATCTATGACGAGTTAAAGAATGTTTTGGGTGAATGTGCTCTTTCTTATGCCACAGTAAAAAACTGGGTGGCTGAGTTTAAACGCGGTCGTACATGTGTCCAAGATGAAGCCCGCCCCGGACGTCCAAAAAGCTTTAGCTGATCGACGATTGAAGTTATCTGAAATAGCTGACACTACAGGTATCTCAAAAGAACGGGTACATCATATCCTAAGTGAGGAATTAAATATGAAAAAGTTATCGGCCCGTTGGGTGCCGCGAATGCTTACGCACGATCAAAAAAGGATTCGGGTGCAAAACTCAAAAGAATGTCTGGACCGTTTTCAGAGTAATAAGGCCGATTTTTTACGTCGATTTGTAACAACAGATGAAACATGGGTTCATCATTACACGCCAGAATCAAAAATTCAATCAAAACAGTGGACTCAATCGGGATACCCGGCTCCAAAAAAGGCCATGGCTGTAAAGTCGGCTGGAAAAGTGATGGCTTCCGTCTTTTGGAATGCAGATGGGATTTTGATGATAGATTACCTTGCTAAAGGTCAAACAATTAATGGTGAATACTACGCTAATCTTCTTGATAAGCTTCATCAATGTATTCAGCAAAAACGACCAGGTTTGGTGAAAAAAAAAAAAATCATCTTCCACCAAGACAACGCTAGGGTTCACACATGTGTTAAAGCTATGGCAAAAATCAACGAATTGAAGTATGATTTGCTGCCTCACCCACCTTATTCGCCTGATCTAGCGCCATCAGACTTCCACTTATTCCCTAAGCTCAAAACTTTTTTGGGCGGAAAGAAATTTGCCATAAATGATGAAGTCATAGCCGCCGTAGAGGAGTATTTTGCAGGCCTCGAAAGAAATCATTTTCTGGAAGGCGTTACTGCTTTAGACTGCTTTAGAACGAAGATGGAATAAGTGTGTAGCGGTTCACGGAGAGTATGTCGAAAAATAAAATTAATTTTATCACGGAAAGTTAAGTGTTTTCTTATTAGGCTAGTTACTTATCATCCCGCCCTCGTATTTGATGATTGGGAAATGTCATCTTTTTCTTTAGCGTTTGTTTACCTTTGTATTACTAACACAATCATATAAGCTCTCTTGTTAATAATATAGATAGTGTAACAAAGTAGTTTTGCCATAATTACAATTTCAAGTCGAAAGTAAGTTTACTTACTCATAATATCATTACTCATCATTGCTATTATCGTCGAAATGTATTTTCGATATGGCCTGCTTTTTGTTTTCAGTTTAAAATCTAGCATTAGCACATTTTTTTTGTACCCAACAAAATTAACTTCTTACGCAATGATAAAACTTGAAGTAAAATACTAAATGAATTATACGTACATAATATCGTTTAACGGCCGTTTTCAATAATTTGTTAATTTTTTGTAATTCTGTCAGTTGATTTAGTTACTGGAGATAGAATTTTGGCGTAAATATTTCGGAGCTAATGTTAAATACCTATCGCTAGTAACACAATCTACTGATAGATAGAATATTGAAACCGCCCGTATAAATAGATGACTCAGTGGCTCAATTGCCAAGGTATTGGCTACGGCGTCGTGCGTCGTGGGTTCGATTCCCACACGGGACAACTATTTGTGCGACCCACAGATAGTTGTTTCGAATCTGGGTGTTTGTCCATGTGGAATTTATGTTTGTAAAGCGTCCTTGCAACACAGGATAATGTTATCCTGAAGTGAGGGCAGTGTTATAAAAAAAAAAAAAAAAGAAATGCTTTGCGGGCTCACATGATGAGTCAACTAAATGAAATTTAACTTAAGATCGCTTTATATACAAATTCAGGCTGCTTGAACTATAACTATACCGATAACAATCTTACTTTATACCGTTTTTAACATAACAAAGATTGAAATCCAGAAATTTGAGAATTACCAAAAAAATCATTACCAAAATGATTGAAAACGTTCATGTCTTTGGCTCAAGGTTATTCTGTTATTTATACTTTATAGCAACGACATATAGGTGTTACTTTTAACTTTGCTATTAACCGTGAAGTCAACACGGTTTTTGTGTATCATAACTGCTTTTTTCCCCAATAGAAATGAAACGTCACCGCCAGTTATGCAAAAAAATAAATTTAAGAAATCCGGACATAATAATAATTTTTGACTTTCCTATAATAATTCGAGTATCTCCAATTCATTATTGAATTATGTAGAAGTTTTCCCACAAATAACTACATGCTAACTATCGCCGATTTGCCTGTGTCTGACTTTCTGTACGTATAAAGTGGATGTCTACAGATCATGATGGCCCGAACTAAACTCGTTTATTATCTAGTTATGCAACATCAATTACCAGGTGGTCAATTGGCCAGTTTCTTACGAAATAATAACAAAAATATTTATTACAAGCAATGCTAAAATAATGTTATCGTTGAATTCGGATCATTGCATTGATGATGAGCTACGATTATATTACTATACTTGGAGATAGTCTCTTTATACAGCTTGTCTTTACCATCGCAACAATAAATGAACACACGTCTAACGCTACTTGCCATATAATCATAAAAAATATAAACGTTAAAAAATTTCATAATTATTATTTTTTTCTAACAAACTAATTAAGTAATAGAGAAAAATTTGTAACACCCTATACAACTACAACTGACTGATTCATACATTCAGAGACTTTTTCATTCGTTGCCACAGCGTCGCATTACAAGCCTCTCCTTCTAACAGTATGTTTTGTTTCTTTTATATTCATTCAACCCATTCATATGTTTTGTGACCTTTACAAATGAACTTTACGTTACAGTTTTATACGTAAGGATGTTCTGAAATTGTTTGTTTTTCAAAATTTAATAACTCTGTATAATATATTGATGTTTGAAGAATGTAAAATATTGTCCAGGTTATATGTGTGTTCATTTATTGTCGCGTTGGTAACGACACGCTGTATATTATCACATAAAAAACAAAAAAACTTGTAGATCAAAATGAATATGATATGCCTACACGAAATCTAAAACGTTTTAATTTTTGCATGTTTATTACACATTTTAAAAATATATACAGATAACGGAGATGCTGAAATCGTTATCGAATTTTATTTAAAATGAAAATAAGAAACTTCAGTACACAAGAAAATTACTATAAAATAAAGTACAACAAGACTAATACGAACGACGTGAGAGAAATACTTTTAGATATAATGTATTTGCTTTTAAACTAATGAGATTGAGTCAATAAAGAGTCGTTGAGTCACGGCTATTATTATACAGGACGTAAAAATAGCACCCTGTGTAGTGTTGCTAAGTAACTGTGACGTCAACAGCAAGGGCACACCGAGAGGAGCGAGGCGCCAGTCTCTAACGGGCTGAACCACAAGGGTGCTCCAGCGCAGCCCACCTCCAACCCAACTCCGTCCACAAACACTTCCCAAGGTAAGCCAAAAGGCCTGATGACTTATGGCTCAGTTGACAAGATATTGGCTTCGGCACCGGGGCTCGTGTGTTCGATTCCCACACGGGACAACTATTTGTGTGACCCATAGATAGTTGTTTCGGATCAGTGACTGTCCACTTGAAATTTATGTATGTAAAACGTCCTTACAACACGGGATAATGGGATACAGTAATGTTTTCGAAGGGAAGACTACAATAGATTTTATATATAGGTCGCAGTGGTCATAGTGATTTATTACCTAACCCATTTCGTACAAAATACAAATACAAGCCCATAAGCAGTCTGATGATGACATGGCGATGGGGACAAGTCTTCAAGGCCTACTGGTGGGTAGGCAAGTATGAACTTAAAACTAAAAAAAAATTAACGCCTTTTAAAATTCCCTTCGTGGTCAGCTCAACTCGGGGTATTATACCGTATACCTCCATGATCTCCTGTGGCTCATCTAAAACCCAGGGTATCAAACAGAAGCGATTTTTTTAACCGACTTCCAAAGGAGGAGGTTTTAAATTCGACTGTATTTTTTTTTAGTTTGTTACCTCAGAACTTTTGACTGAGTAAACCGATTTTGATGATTCTTTTTTTATTTGAAAGCTGGTTTGAATTTCATAGTAGCTTAGGTTCCGGAGATACTTAGGGAATTATGAAATGAATACAGAGCGAGATTCGTTAACATCGGGTGAACCGCACGCTCGCTAGGCAACTTTTGACATAACTAAAAATACAGTCGATTTGAGAACCTCCTTTTTTGAGTCGGTTAAAAAACAGGGTTATTTAAACTGTTTTGAACGACACGTCGGTGATAAATTTTCAGCATCGCCCACCCGTACGCGTATACTGCAGCAGCTCAGCAAACTGATGACCACCTGCCTCGTTCTCAGGATCGACGACTTCACGGTGAATAAGGTGGGTATGAACGGTCAGAGGTCGCTTGTTGATACCCTATCTTTTATATAAACCCCCCAATCCGTGGGGTCGCGTGGTGGACTATGCCCTGATACCCTCTGTACAGAAAGGGCCCTTGCCCAGCAGCGGAACATGTAATTGTATAGGCTATTACTTTACTTGACTTAAAAATAAACAAATATTTCGGGACATGTTTTAAACAACCTTATCTAGTCCCGAACTAAGCAAAGCTTGTACTATGGTAAGTATAAACATAATACTATAAACATACTATTCTTTTGTAAATAAACAAATATTACAGTTATATTAACTCCCAGTCACTTAAAGAACACTATGTTCACACAAAATTTTTCCAGTAGTGTGGATAAAAGCCATACCCTCTGGCGCAAGGGATAGGATAGGTAAGGTAAAATTTTTTGCAATTAACTTGTCGTGGGGATATGACAACACACCTTTTTTTTTTTTTTTTTTTTGGTATCGGGGGGGAAATCTTCAAAAGAAAAGATACCCTGTCATGATATGACAGGGTTATGTGGGGTTCGTACCCACTAAAACCCCCTCGGTGGCCACCTTCTGTACCTTTGGAGGGACTCCGGGATCTCCTATGGAACGCACCGGTGTCCCTCGGTACTGGGCGTGAGCACGCCTCGGAGAAGGGTAAACCTTCCCCGATTCCCTCGCCGTCTTCCAGCAGCCCGAGACCACTTCGTGCTGCTGCCAATCCGTGTCCCCTTTTAGTCGCCTTTTACGACAGGCAGGGGGATACCTTAGCTCTATTCTACGAGCCCGAGACTACAGGGCTGATGACAACACACCTAGCATCTATATCATGTATAGAGGATTGTGCTCTGGCTCCATTTGACTTATACCTGCGATACCTACGGGATTACCGTAAAAGTAACAAGACCTCTGTACATAGGGTATTTGGGCATAGTCCACCTGCAGATTGGCGGACTTTGTTCTTTGTTATTATTTCGAAAATATTCAGGTGTCCTCACGATGTTTTAGTTCACCGCTGAGCACGTGATAAGTCAGCACTTACAATTAAAAAACTTCATTGGTGCCGGCACCGGGGATCGAACTCGGGTCGCTCGAGTATATTGAATTAAAAGCGGGCGCCCGGACAATGAGCTATCACGGCTCTACCGTAACTCAATCTCTTGTTGTGACTGCCTTTCTTCACACGGGACTACCACAACTCTCTCAATTTTGATTGCCTTCTTTATCCTCTGCTCCAACCAGGTCTCGACGGGATCCAAATCCCGGGAGAGTCCGCGGCCCCTGGTGAGTGCGGAGAAGGCGACGCTTCCTGGCGACGCGGGCCTACTGCACGCGGAGCTGACCTTCTTCTACTACCCCGGAGATGTATGCTTCCCCGGTAGGGTTAGACTGCCTCACCCCTTTCTACTGTGTTTTACATCGGACTATACTACGAACGCAGTAACAATTGTTTATTGCCCATATTTTTAACATTAACATATAAAATTGTTAAATTAACTGTTAATGTTCCTCTCGTTGGCAAGATTTCAAGAGATCTTTATGTTGTCCCATTCCGTTATGTTGTTACCAATTCTTATATCTGAGGAATGTTATGGGTTAAATTAAAAATGGATTAATCTTTTCATGTTTCTAATGATATTTAGTAAATTCTATTTAATTAGATTTCAGGATTTGGTCCTTTTAGCCGGATTGTAATCTATAAAAATTGATGACTCTTTTGGCAGCACTTTTTTTTGCATTGCGATAAACTTGATCGCCGCGGATTGTGGGTTCGATTCCCACCCGGTATTTGTATGACTATTTTGGTTTTTGGCCCTTCTTTAATTCGCTTATGGACACTTCTCATTCTATTATAGCTATGGCTGAATTGATAAAAAATCCGGTCCCGTTACTAATGCCCTACGACAAAATCAGCCATGTTTTATTTAATGAACACTTTTCTAAGCAACAAGTTCTTACGCAGTTCCGCCCCCGAAGCTGTACGTTCAGCTGAGCCCCGTGCGGGTGTCGGTGGACGTGGCAAGCGTCGTGTGGCTGTCGGCATTCCTGCCACACGTGGCAAGGGCACTCGCCACAGCTGCCACGGCCGTCACGGCGGCCGCAGACTCGGATGACCAGACTGCTTACATCGACGTCCGCGCCGAGGCGATAATGCCTAAGGTACTGTTATATGCACTCGTCGTGTATAATATTTCTTACCAAGCTACCTAGTCCATTTCTCGTCAGAATATTTTGAAAGCACTATATGGCCTTTGCATTAAAGATCAGTTCGTCACGACTATTCAATATAATACACAATCTATCAGATTATAATATAATTATAATCTGATCGATTGTATTTGAAAGTGTTTAAACAAAAAAGATATATATAACAGTCATCATTCATGCTCACACGGATTTGATGCAAATTCGAACTGAAAGAGAAAGCTATCATTGATCACACCATTTTCAAGTAATTCAAAATCGCGAATAAAATGAAATATGTTTCTTAATAAAACGTCAAACGTGCACACACTGCTAAACCGTTTATTTCAAACTAGCTACTGCCCGCGAATACGTCTGCGTAGAATAGGCTGAAGGCGTAACATTCAGGCAGAAAGATACATAAAAATATGTAAATAAATTGTAGCCTGTTTCTTATTCTGATGTATAAACTATATTATTTGTATCATAAAAATCCATTAATTAATTTGCGTGAAAGAGTAACAAACATCCATCCATACATACAAACTTTCGCCTTTATAATATTAAGTAAGGAAGTGAGGATAAGGATAGGTATTAAGCGATAGAGCTGTATAAATTGGATATGCTTGTGTTCATGAGAGTATTTGGAGAATTGCCGCAGCTTCAATGAGGACGACAATGACCCGATGGGGGTCCAACGGGCCCTTTCCAGATAGTGCTGGAGGCCGGGCCGGAGCACGTGTCCCAGCAGCGGGACCGGCCCAAGGAGCTGCACTTGTGCACCGCCAGGGCCACGCTCACCAACGTCCGCGAATCGCCCAGGGCCAGTGAGTATGTCGCCATTGGCGTGCGACGCACTCGAAGCGAGCGTTTCGCTTTGTGTTGTGCGCAAAGAAACGAAACAATTCGCTGTTCCTGTCTCTTTAGGGTCCCGTACCCAAAGGGTAAAACGGGATCCTATTACTGAGACTCCGCTGTCTGTCTGTTCTTCTCTCACTAGGCTGTATGCTGTACCTCATAAACCGTGATAGTAAGACAGTTGAAATTTTCACAGATTATAATATAACCCTCGACCGTTTGATCGGGTCCTATTTATTTATGTATTATATATAATATTTATATCTATATGTTTATTTTTATTTATAATATTTATGTTATATATGCAATATATATCTATATAATTATTTTTATTTATAAACCCAACCAGACGAGAAAATGAATAAATACCCCCTATTTATTAATTTTCTCGTCTGGTTACTGGACATAATAATAAAGGTTTATTTAAACAAATAGTAGAGAACAAAAACATCATTTACAGTATTAAACACAGTAAGTACATTAAAATATGTAGGAAAAGTAAGTACGTTTACAAATAGTATTCAATCGTAGTGAACCCTGCACTAGGTAGCAACCTGTCTCACAGGGAGCAAAGATTATGTATTTCTATTGCCGCTACAACAAAAATACTAAAAAACAGAATAAAAATTATTTAAGTGGGGCTTCCATACAACAGAAATGTTTACATGACTTCACGGTGTTCAATGCCATCTAATAAAAATTTTTTCACATTGACCTATAATAACAACTTAAACGGTTATCAATTGCATTTCAATGTCCTTCTTTCACAAGCAAAGAGTACTGGCACAGGGGATAAAATTTTTAGTTGTTATAATTTTGGTACTCCAAAGAAGAATATAACGTGATTAAATGAGTACACAGATATTTCTTTTTGTTTAGCAGAGTCCATTTTATGTCTCCTCTTAAGTAGAGATTAGCACTAGCTCTTTGATCTCTTCGACTGGAAACGTAGAAACGTTAAGTACCCTATTATTGTTTTGCCTGTTCTGTATAACCGGAGACCTTTGATGTTTATGAACCTTTGAATCGGGGATGAGGGACAAAAAAAATCAAAACCTCCATTCAAAACTGTGCACTTATAATCTATTACAATTAGCACATGCATCTCTCCAGCATATTTTTTCAATGCTTGGACGACATTAAAATAAAAATGATCTAAACATCGCGATGAAGTGATGTTGTGAATGTTCACTTTGTCGTTTAGCGCCATCTCTCGGTAAAAAAAATAAAAACTTACAACTGGACACGCCATTCGCAGACACGGCGGGGACCCGCGCCGACCTGGCGTCCATAATAGCGGCGCTGAGGAGGTCCGCGCCCCGAGCGGGGGAATTCCCCACCGCGCTCGACGACTGCGACCCGATACACGAGCAGTTCGTGCTGCACGCGGACAGTACGCAAGTTGCAATTGTCTTTCTTTTTTCAGTTTGTGGAGAACCTTCTCTTGATGTCAATGAGTACCTACACACCGTTGCCGGCGGACGTGTTCAGCACCGGAGGGTTTCAGATGCTTTGACAACGTTTAAAAAAGAGCGCCCCGGCTACCTCAAACGCCAGACGAAACGGGAAAGTGTAATGATTCCGTGATGCCGTGGCCGAGAATTGCAAAGGCTACGAACAAGACTGGCGAGGAGTAGAATTAGTTACACTTTTGCGCTTCGTCTGGCGAGCTATTTAACCGAAGTCTACTGTAACATCTGGTGGTGTGAGTCGACCACTCAATATCGCATAAGCCAGTTGCTCGGCTGTTTTTAGAGATTTATAAAATTTTTATATATTTATTTCAACATTACAACTATCCTTTCTGGTTATCCGAATGCGATAGTGTAACTATATACTATGTTATACATACACATATTTTTTAAATTAGGTATATAAAAAATAATAAACAATGCTAGCTTTGTGAACTCAACGAGGGGACGCCAAATAAGTCTATTTCTCTGGCTATCGAGTTGAGAGGTTAGAGGGCAAGTGTTCGTTCGTCGCCCGCAGGCCTGGACGACATAGAGCGGGGCTCGGCGCTGGCGCCCGAGCTGCTGTGGCGCGAGAGCCGCGCGGTGTGGTGCGCGCGCGTCGAGCCGCTGTGGGCGGACTTCTGCGGCGCGCGCGCCACCAACTACAAGCCGGCGCCGCTGCTCGACGCCACGCCGCTCACCGCCTGGGTGAGTACCAAAGCCACGCCCCCGCTGACTCACGAGTACACTCACTGCGTCGTCGAGTCACGGCCCCCTCTCTCCCACACGGGTACACTCGTCTGCTCGACGCCACGCCGCTCACCGCCTGGGTGAGTACCAAAGCCACGCCCCCGCTGACTCACGAGTACACTCACTGCGTCGTCGAGTCACGGCCCCCTCTCTCCCACACGGGTACACTCGTCTGCTCGACGCCACGCCGCTCACCGCCTGGGTGAGTACCAAAGCCACGCCCCCGCTGACTCACGAGTACACTCACTGCGTCGTCGAGTCACGGCCCCCTCTCTCCCACACGGGTACACTCGTCTGCTCGACGCCACGCCGCTCACCGCCTGGGTGAGTACCAAAGCCACGCCCCCGCTGACTCACGAGTACACTCACTGCGTCGTCGAGTCACGGCCCCCTCTCTCCCACACGGGTACACTCGTCTGCTCGACGCCACGCCGCTCACCGCCTGGGTGAGTACCAAAGCCACGCCCCCGCTGACTCACGAGTACACTCACTGCGTCGTCGAGTCACGGCCCCCTCTCTCCCACACGGGTACACTCGTCTGCTCGACGCCACGCCGCTCACCGCCTGGGTGAGTACCAAAGCCACGCCCCCGCTGACTCACGAGTACACTCACTGCGTCGTCGAGTCACGGCCCCCTCTCTCCCACACGGGTACACTCGTCTGCTCGACGCCACGCCGCTCACCGCCTGGGTGAGTACCAAAGCCACGCCCCCGCTGACTCACGAGTACACTCACTGCGTCGTTGAGTCACGGCCCCCTCTCTCCCACACGGGTACACTCGTCTGCTCGACGCCACGCCGCTCGCCGCCTGGGTGAGCACGAGCCTCCCTTCCCCCCAATAGTGCGCTCGCCCCTCACTGCGTCCGTGAGAAGGCCACGCCCCCTATGGGTACACTAGTGTGCTCGTCCCCTAACACGTCGCTGAGACAGAGGCGGAGGGCCTCACGATTACACGCGTGTGCTCACCCCTCACTGCGGCGTTGAGCACGAGCCCCCCTCTCCCTCAGGGGAAGACTCTAGTACTTGACGGCACGCAATTTTCTCGTGGGTTTTTTTATGTGAGGAAGTGGCAAACGAGCTGGCCGTTCATCTGATGTTAAGTGATAACCGCCGCCCATGAAGAGTTGCAACACCCGTAGAGTTGCAGATGCGTTGCCACCTATTAATAATGTGGGCCCCGGCTACCTTATTCACCAGAACACACTGAACGCGCAGAAATGCAACACTTCTACTTTACGCCGGTCTTCTGTGAGGTCGTGGTACTGACCCGGACGGACCTGCCCATTCGTGCAATAGCGAACACTGTTGCGTGGTACTACCACCGTGAAAGGGGTGAGCCCCACCCACTACGTACCGTCTGCCCCGCCGTAAGCTTACTTCACCCGAGGACGGCCCGAGACTCGGACGGTTCGAGTTCGATCAGACGCACGCTCCTGTGCGTGTCCAACCACTAGAGCGGTGTAGATAACTCTGGTGTTTGTGTGACCTCGTGAAAGCAGAAATTGTTCGTCGCCATGAAAACTTCCTCACCAGTCGATCGAAATTAATGGTCTTTTCTTCTGATAGTGGGAAAGTGAGAGAAAGAGAGGGAGATCACTCGCACTTAAAAACGAACATAACACGGTGAAACTGCTTTGACACGCGCTTCGTTCTTCACAACAGTTGTACTTCGACGAGGGCTTCTCCAAAATATGGGTGATAGCCCGCACCTGTGGCTTGGCCGGCCTGCAACTGAACCACTACCAGCTCCTGTTCCTGCTGCGGCAGCTGGAGAGGATCTCGGAGATGATGGCCTGGCTCTCGCACGACGCCGCGAGGCAACCAGACGGAGACGACGGGTAAGTACTGTCCAATGACATCTATCTAATCTGATATTAATTTCTTTCAGACCATCCATAGATAGTAATGTAACAGCCTATACATGTCCCACTGCTGGGCAAAGGCCTCCTCTATACAGAGGGTATCATTGCATAGTCCACCACGCGGCCCCACTGCGGTTTGGCGGACTTCACATTTCTTCGGAATATATATATATATATATATATATATATATATATATATATATATATATATATATATATATAATATATATATATATATATTTTGTTATTATTTCGCAAATATGAAGGTTTCCTCACGATGTTTTCCTTCACCGCGGACCACGTGATAAGTCAGCACTTAAAGTTAAAAACTTCATTGGTGCCGGCACCGGGGATCGAACTCGGGTTGCTCGAGTATATTGAATTAAAGGCGAGCGCCCGGACACTGAGCTACCACGGCTCTTAGGTTGCCTGAAAGAAATTACCTTTAGTAATAAGGCCGCCCATTGATTGTACATTCATATCACATAATTTCCACATTAAGTTTTTAGTTCTTGTTTATTTTATTTTGGTGTGAAACAAAGAATATTCTTTCGTACATTAATTCGTCATCTGGAATATATACGTTACGGTTATGGGTGCTGTAATGTGTTCGGAATGTCCCGATTAACAATCGGGATAAAATCTGTAAAATAGTTTTAACCTTAAAGTGTAAGTTGTTTGTTGTTCAGTTAATTCTCCGAATAAAACTATCCTTTTAAAAAATTTATTGAACATCATCCGTATTCATACACTTAATACATTATGAGGCATAAAATTGAAATTTGGAATATAGTAGACTCTTATGCGGAAATGTTAAAACATACTTATTGACATTTCAGATTAATTGTGGTGGGATTGGTGGTGCCGTCGGTTGAATTGAACTTAGTGCTGCCGTCCAGCTGCCCGGGGCAGGAGTCCTCCAGGGACCTCGACAGCGTCCCTCTGGACTCATCCAGTCTGCAAGACCTCAAAATGGGTAAGGTCTCATTTTGAACGACAGGCCATGTGGAGTCGGCAGCAATGAAAGTGACAAATATTTTGTACATATGCTTTTGAATAGCTGATTAAATATATATCATATTTAGAACTCGATTTTCTGTTTAATTACTATTAATGAATTTACTCAAAATACTAGTGTTGGTAAATAAATTAAGAGAGACAAACCGAGTATCAGCGCTGGCCATTTCACTTTCTAATGTGAATTACTCGTTTGTGTATCTATAAGTATCAAGAAATGACCATATTTAAATGCAACCGTGGGAAGATAAAACGAACAACTACGTCCGGGTTAAAATGTCGCTGTCTTTTATCTACACCCATTGTTATATCCTTTAAAACAGACAAATAATTTCGAATATCGTTTTACAACGATAATTCAAACGAGATATGTCGTCAATCGCCATTGCTAATAGATTTTTTTTTTTTATTTTATATTTCTAATCTCTGCATTAAGATGTAACAAACAAAAATTTGAAAGTTTTTTTTTTATAGTGCTAATCTCTGCACTTAAGATTGAAAATTAAAACATGTAGAAAAAGTACGAAAAGATTGTCGCCTTTGTGGGAATCGAACCCACGTCTTCGGCATTCGCGGCCTGACGCTCTAGCCACTGAGCTAAACGGCTGATAGCCACTTTTCCACACATTTTAATGTTTCTTTATCTACAATTTAAAAAGTTCTTATTAGGTAAAAACTGATGAAAAATCAATTCGTACCTTACCTGGCCAGGTTCCGAGGCGACGATGGCGCCGTCGATGCAGGACCGGGACAGCGGCGTGGTGGCGCCCCCAAACCCCATCGAGATCTGCAACGCGCAGCCCCTGCCCGCCGAGGAGGTGCCCCCGAGTCCAGGGATCGGCTTCGGAGGTGGGGGACCCTCATCATACATAGTTTTCCAATAAGACCGCTATGTCTACCAATTTTAGTTCACCTAACTTCCGATCGATCATTTCTGAATTCCGTTAACTCGATAAACCGTTATTAAGGTTCATTAAGACTATAAGATTTCTAGTTGTGCAGCCTTGTAGTGTTTTTTTTTCTCGTTAAAGTTGGAATCCTTACTTATATTATAAAGGCGAAAGTTTGTATGAATGGATGGATGTTGTTACTCTTTCACGCAAATACTACTGAATGGAGTTTAATGAAACTTTACAATAATATAGCTTATACACATCTACATCAGAATAACACATAGGCTATAATTTATATACATATTTTAAGTACATCTGTTTTTCTGTCTGAATGTTACGTCTTCGGCTACGGTTACTATGCTACGCAGATGTAGTCGCGGGTAGCAGCTAGTTTCGCAATGAAAGTACAAAAAAACGTACAAAAAAACCGTTTCCTGTTCAATAGCTATGTTGTGAACAAGTATCAAGGCAATCCATCGGCTAGTTTGTGAGTTTTACATTTACATACCGAAACCCTATTTTTATGTAAAGACTAGCTGACCCCGCAAATTTAGTTTTGCCATAAACATTATTTGTAGGATAGAAAAAATAAAATTAAAAAAAATTGTAAATCTACTCTCATACCTACTGAATATACATATAAAATTTCATCAAAATCGGTCAAGCGGTTTCGGAGGAGTGCAAACACTAAAACTGTGACACTATAATTTTATATATTAGATATTATCGATAATAAACACATCCTAATTTTATATATTTAAACACCGTTGGCATCGATTATGGCTATTATAGCTACTACAGTCATTACATAGAAACTAGCACATTTTTACGCGAGCGTGCCGCGTCTCCGCCCAGGCTTCTCGTCGATGCGGCGCGGTCTGACGTCACTGGTGACGTCATTCGACGCGCTCGGGCGGGACGACTCGAGGAGCGATGCGGCGTCCACCGCCAGCTCGGACAGCGAGCGCTACGTGCTGGTGGGGCTGGCCGCCGAGTCGCCCGACGACGCGGACCTCGCCTTCAGGTGCGACTCTACGCGCCTCGCTTTAAGGTCTATATTCGAGTGGCGCGGTTCTTCTTCCTCCGCCAAATTTACGACGATGTTCTATTTTAACGAGAGGGAAAGACGACTCTATGAACATTATCTTAAGGTCTAGATTCGAGTGGCCGAGCGTTCGAGGCGATCTCCACATCGGTCGGAAACGAGTGGACGCTGTGTTTTCTTCTACATCCCTCTCATTTAAAAGAAAGACGACGCGGACCTCGCCTTCAGGTGCAACTCTACGCGCCTCGCTTTAAGGTCGACATTCGAGTGGCAGAGCGTTGGGAGGCGATCTCCATCTCGATCGGAATCAAGTGGACACTGTGTGTTCTTCTTCATCCTTCTCATTTAAAAGAAAGACGACTCGGACCGCGCCTTCAGGTGCGACGACTCTAAGCGCCTCGCTTTAAGGTCTATATTCGAGTGGCCGAGCGTTGGGAGGCGCGGGTCTTCTTCCTCCGCCTAATTTACGATGATGTTCTATTTTAACGAGAGGGAAAGACGACTCTATGCTCATTGTCTTAAGGTCTAGATTCGAGTGGCCGAGCGTTTGGAGGCGATCTCCACCTCGATCCGAATCGAGTGGACGCGAGTACCATACCGGTTGGAATAGAATGACTATGAAATTACCCTCTATTTTAACAAGATTTCCTCTTGAGAGGAAATCTTGTTAAAATAGACGTCTCTATGTACATCGACTTTAGGTCTCGGTTCGAGTGGCCGAGCCCAATCTTTACTCTTGATGTGTCCCAACATTGAGCATTCTCGCAGGGAGTTCGAGCACGGGCGCGTCTCCAGCGGCGTGGAGGTTGCAGCGGAGGTGGTGGAGCGCTCCTCCTCACCCAGCGACCACTCGGCCACCAGCTCCTGTCGCCGGCGAGACCTGGTAACCACCAAGCATTGCTGTAGACTGGCAACGGCAGAAGCCACTGCCAATAATTGACTTACTCGATTATGGTACGGCCACGCGTCAGCTTCTGCTGTTGCAAGAATGAGCAGGTTTTTCCGGAAAGTGCAACGGTCTCAGAAGAACGGCGTGAAGTGGAAGTTATATACTTTCACGTCTCGTTCAGTGGCCTGGGCCCACTACACCCTCGATAAGGCGGACGTTAGGAAATTGTTGATCCTCATTTTCTCTGCCCTGTTTATTTCTTAAGAAACTTCTTTCAGACCTGTTACTGGAAATTGATCACAAATGGTAGTTAAGTTAATAGTGTAAAAAAATTATTAATTATAATACATGCAATAATTATAAATATATGAAAATAAAAAAAGACCTGTGCAAGTGTGCGGGAAGTCGATGGATGCGGATGGCTCAGGATCGTACTTCGTGGCAGTGGCCTAGTTTCATCATGGACTCAAACAGGCTGAAATGATGATGATGAAGAAATGATTGGCTTGGCTTCTATTCACTACTCTTCACCCTGCCCTGCTCGGACGATGACTACGTACCGCCCGAACCCACACGTGCTAACTGTTTGTGTGACCCATAGATAACTTTTTCGGATCTGGGCGCTTCTCCACTTAAATTTCACCTACGTAAAACGTCCTCACAACACAGCATAACGTAATCATGCAGTAAGGGGTGCAATGTTTTCGAAGGGAAGACTGCAATAGATCTGTCTAGGTCGTTGACCTTTGGGACTTACCACCCGACCCCTTCCGCACAAAATATAATACAAACACACTGTTCGGAGTTACGCAACCGAACGGCGGCATTGTCACTTTGTGCATCATAGGCAAATTACACTCGCGTACATATGTACGTTTCATGCCTAATTTAAGGCAGTACGCGCCTCGCCACCGTCCAACCATACCCATACCATTTATTATACCGCGTATTCTTTATACTATTTTGTACCATATACAGCGTGTTGTTACCACGCGACAATAAATTAACACACATATAGAGGATAACTTTTTAAAATTGTATTAAGCATTTACATTCTTTAAACATCAATATATACAGAGTTATTAAATTTTCCAAAACAAACAATTTTAGAACAGCCTTACGTATAAAATTGTAACGTAAATTTCATTTGTTAAGGTCACAAAGTATATGAATGGGTTGAATGAGTTTAAAAGAGACAAAACATACTGTTAGAAGGAGAGGCTTGTAATGACGAAACTGTGGCGCGAGTTGTATAGGATGTTACAAATTTTGTTTCTTTTTTACTTAATTAGTTTGTTTGAAAAAAATTTTTTTTTTTAATTATGGATTTTTTTAACGTTAATAATTTTTTACGATTATTGGCAAGTAGCGTTAGACGTGTGTTCATTTATTGTCGCGATGGTAACGACACGCTGTATAAGTGTTAGTAAACCATTTTCCAGAATATTTATAAACTCTCTCCCTTTACAACCTTCTTCACACCCTGCTTCAAGATCTCGACCTGCACCTGGCGCCTCAACAACATCCACCTGGTGCAGCAGAGCGTCGGTGGATCCTCGTCCCTCCGCCTGGTGGCCGACGACCTCACCACAGACGAGTGCACCTCCATACCCTGGGACGAGTTCCAGGTGAGTGTCGCGCGCCAACGTGAAACCACCCTTGTTCGTACGCGTTAAGAGCCAATTTCCAACGGCACGATATCACATCCTATAATCGACTGACTTTTTTGATGGACTAGCAATTTATTTTTTGATTGAGATACGAACTAAGTCACATCCTAAAATCAACTAGATAACTTTGAAACTCAGCAATTTTTTTTTTATCTAAATCACATAATTATTTTGTAATGACATATCAGTGAAGTTTTTGCTGGAAAATATTAAAACTACAATTGTACTTATTCTTGTTAATGTAAATTGAACAATATCATTTCTATAACACTCACATTCTATGACACTACATTCCTTTGTACCACACGTTTTCCTTTTTATTTGTATTTGTTAATTTTGTAAGTTACCGTCTAAACTTATTTTATTAGCATGTTTATCGTTTCTTTAACTGTATTATTTTGAATCGTTTGTCTATAGACATTTTTATTCTTGGGCAGTCTTCACCATGTCCTGAATTGATTTTTACGATCTTGATTATGGACAAGTAACGACATCTATTAACAGTAAAGGGTCATTTTTCCGTATATCCGTATAGATTTTCAGTGAACACGTGGCATGGTGTAGGCTAATTTCTGCATGACCGTCCTCATTCCACGATCCATCCGTAAAAGTATCCGATAAGTTTTGCAACGAATCGTTCTATTCTCGGAATCGATGAACGTTTTCGAAAATGGAACGCGTCCGTTTTATTTTTTCCCTCCTAAAACTCTGTTGTCTATGTGTGTGTTTTTTTTCTCTATGGCAACTCCCGCCCGCTCGGCTCGCGACCGAAAGATTCGACTCAAGGTATTCAATACGTGTGCGGTCATTTGACAACACGGCGTAGTGGTATCACGTTATTTTGACTGCGAGATAGTTTGTAGAGTTTTTGTGTCGTAGCCAAGGGGGTTTGTGTGTGTACGTGTACGTGTGAGTGAGATGGAGGATGTTTCCGTTACGCTCTCGGGGTGTTACGTTTTGGCGGAATGATACGTTCGCGATTCGTCTGAATCACGGTATTTTAATTTAATTTGAATTGTTGCTTGTTGAATGTTTACAAAGATGATGTAGCACATCAGTTAGCTTAGACCATAATCCAGACATTAGAATATGGACTATTTCGTTTTGAAAACAAGACGTACCGACTTATATGTATATACATTTTTGTAAATATATACATAAATTATTATTAATACAATCTAAAAGAATAAATTTATGATTATAACCCAGCAGGAACGGAAACATCTTCATGAGTGCCTAAAATTATTTTACCACCGATTTATATGTTACGTTTTTATGAACATTTAAATTTAAACTGCCATCTTACCCAATCGGCATAACTGCTGTAACCGCTTGTCTTTGCTTTTGGAATATATATGTACGTTAGTGTAGAACGTTTATTACTAGGCTGAAGAAGTTACTACACAATATATTCACATACACAAATACAATGGTCAGGTAAGTCCGGGAAAGTACCAGGACCTCACAGGAGACCGGCGTAAAGTGGAAGTGTTCCACTTCTACGTTTCGTGTTGTGAGTGAGGTAGCCGGGGCACACTTTATTAAACGGTGGCGACGCGTCTGCAACCCTACGGGTGTTTTATACTTCTATTCGTCTTCGTTTCGCCTGGTGAGTGAGGTAGCCGGGGCGCACTTCATTGAAAGGTAGCATCGCATCTGCAACTTTACTGGTATTGCAAATGTCAATGGCCGGCGGTTATCACTTAACATCAGTTGAACCGCCAGTTCGTTTGCCACCTTCCAACATAAAAAAAGAGTTTAATCTAAGTTTATTTAATAAATTAATATTAGTGTCATACTGTTATCTCTTAAAGATCTTAAAACAGCATGCGTTACTTTACAAAATATAGTTTTTTCTACAATGATAGTGGAAAATTTTTCGAATTTCGCTAGATTCAATCCACAGACTTTTTTAAACTCTATGGTTAATCTAATAGAGATCACATTCGCTTGTGCTTCAGCTTTTTAACTACCATGGCACAAGCTACCTATTAGTTATTTTGGCTCCCTATGCCAGCCGTAGCAAGACTTCTATAGACTTAAAATAGTGTCACATATCGAACCTTCTAGAGATACTTAGATATCGCAAATGCATATCGGTTGCAATGTTGCCTACATCAAAAAGTGTGTACATCTATACATCTATATAGATAAATAAAATTGGAGTGTGTTTTTGTAATATTAAAATAACTGCTTTTTACTAAATGCATATGGATTAAATTTTTTATCTGTCTGTCTGTTTATTCCGGGTAATCTTTAAAACGGCTGTACCTATTTTGACGGGACTTACTGGCAGATAACTGATGTTAATAAGGATTAACTTAGGCTACTTTTATTTTATAAATTTTATTTATATATTATAAATTCCACGCAGACGGAGCCCTGGGCACGGCTAGTTTACATACGTAATTCTACGGCCATTAGTTCGGAGACACAATTAACATGGCAACTGATATCCATTGCGATCTTTATTTTCGTCCATAAGGACCATTTTCCAATGCCACCCGATGTCCCCTAGAGCAAGTTCTCGATGCGCGCGCGCGCTTGGACCGAGCCGTTCGTCGAGGATGCCGATCTGAAGGTTAGGGAGACGCCGCACGTCGCCTTCAGGATGACCAGGATTGAACTGCCGAGGGTTGGTGCCGAAGAGGTAGGTCTACTCTCCATTCGTATGGGTCTTGTTCCGATGTTAAACTCTGTTGCACGAGTGGGCAGGCCCAGCCGCGGAAGCACCACGTCCTCACTGACGTTGAGGTAACCGGTAGTCAAATTTTTGAAGGTCAGCGGCCCCATACGTTTCGTTAACGATAACGTTGGATGGTGATCACTGAACATCCGGTGACAAAAAGCTGTTATTTTTAGGCTATTTTTAAACGATTAAGATTGTGGGACCGGTTTGGTTAGAAAAATATATATCTTTATAGGTTGAAAAAAAAAAAAAAAGGTCTCTCTTGGTGTTTTAAAAGCTCAACTCATTTGTCATTATAACCGATTTGACACACTGCAAACATTTTTTATTTTACACTTGGTCAACGCGGGGTCGATATTTTGAATGCATGTCATGTCAATCGATTTTGAACCTTAAAGTGAAATCCTTCAGTGGTATTTTTTTATCAACGGTGCCTGCTTTCCAGGGTACACCTGCCGTATTGGCGTCGTACGATGAACTGCTGGAGGCGCGAGTGCGCGATCTGAGCATTGCTCTCAACATGAGCACAGCCCTGGCGCTGGCCGAGTTCATAGAAGACGAGATCATTGCACCACCAATGCCGCTAGAGGTAATGAGAGGAATTTATTAATCTACTAACTTCCGCAATCCCCTCGGCTTTTGTGGCCCAGCTGTGGAACATGTGTATGCTGATACTTTTTCCTTACTTACGCATACATTTAATAGCGCAGTAGTGATATATTGAGGAACGCCCGTGCATACGTCACCATCCGCCGATCCAGGTGCTGATCGAGAACGTTAAGCTGCACCTGATCGAGGACCGGCCGACGCGCTCCATCTCGTCGCCGCCCCCGCAGCCGCTGGACCTGGCCCTAAGCGGGCTGCGGCTGACGAGGGACCGCACCGGCGTGCTGCGGCTCGGCGCGCCGGCGCCCCGCGCCTCTGCCACGCCCACCGCCCCCGCGACGCCCCCCTCGGAGGCCACGCCCCGCCCCGCGGCCACGCCCACCCGCCCCGCCCCCGAGCCCGAGCCCGACCGCCTGGAGCTGCTGAGCCGCGAGAACGAGGAGCTGCGCCGCCGCCTCGCGACGCTCTCCCGCCTCGCGGACGACAACAGGGAGCTGAGGGCGTGAGTCCGCTGTGGATGTTCATAGAGCTGTGAATACCGCCACGCGTCTATGGATGGATGTTCAGAGAGCTGTAACACCACGTTTTTAAAGATGGATATTCAGAGAGTTGTAAATAAGTGTCAAGAAATAAATGATCAAAGCAGCTGTACATATCCCCACCCCGGAACTCCCCCGTCCAAACCACCCCGGTTTAAAGATGGAGGGATGATTGTTTACGGGACGACTGTAACTTTAATACAATATATTATATTGTTAATTCTAAACCTTATAGAAAACTACTTCTAAAGTTGTTATTGTCGAAAAAGGCTTTGGTCAATACTTCTACTGAGTTCTTTTCTTCAGTTTTGTATTAAGTTTTCCTAGTGCTAATATCTGCACTTAGATGAAAACACGAAAATGTTTTGAGTTCTATCCATGTTACTTTACTTGTTTCTTTTAATGAACGACAACGTGTCATTTCAGGAAAGTGGAGGAGGCGTCTGTGCTAAAGCAGTGCGTCCACGCGGCTCAGCAGGAGGCTGCCAGCTTGTTGGCCGACAAGCAGGAGCTGTTGGAAGCCGTGCGCGTGTTGCAGGTTCGAAACCGACCCCATCACGGCTTGTGTACTTTATAACGCGCTAAGTGATAGCTCCACTAATTTTATGATAGCGAAAGTTTTCGTGCGAGTCTGTTTGTTGTCCCTTTTACTAACAACTTTTTGACGGTTATTACTAGTTGGATTATAAGAGTTATCCGTTTCTTTTTAAAAAAAACGTGAACTTCTTACATGAGTACTTATGTACGGATGTAAGGAGTTATACTTCTTTAGCGTATGAAAAGAAATTAGCTAAAAAATTATATGTGGTACTCTTTGTTTGTGAAAAAAGAAACATGAAATGCAATTAATAATGGTTTATTTAAATAATTTTGATAGGTGAAAAGTTTTTATGGGTTGCCGTTTAACCACGAAGTTTGTGTTGCTTTAAGTTGTCCTGCACCTTTTAAAATTCTCACTCATCGTTTTTCCCAATCGCGCCAAAAGAAGTATAACTCGAAAAATATTTTATAACAATTCAAAAACAACAAAAGAAACAACAATTCAAAACTAATGTTAACAAAATACTATCATAACATAAAAATTATTGTGACATGCGGTCCTACGACTGAGTGTTGTCATTTCTTTTCTTTATTTTTATTTTTTTTTTATTTTTTTAACTACTACCTGCTTAGCTTACCAACTAAACACTCACCACTTCATTGACATACAAATATGTTTAACTGACGCCCGGTTTCTGAAACACTGATCAACGATTGATCATTCATCATCATCATCATCATAAAGAAGATCATTCTGGTCAATTCAGAGAACCATTTGACAGCTGTTTCGTTGACATCTACGATGATCAGTGTTTCAGAAACCGGGCGTTAATCTTTTAGATGTAAGAAACTACGTACATATTTAAAATGTAGGTAAACGCAACAATAAAAAAAACTTGAATTTGGGAACAAATACTTACGTAACAAAAAATATACATATAATTTATTTTAAGAAATAAACGAAAAATAAAAAAAATGTATCTTGGCTCGTTAAAAGTTTTTTTACTTTACTACTCTTTCGTGTTTTTGCGTTTCCAGGAGCAGCTGAGCGGCTACCGGGGAAAGAGATAGCGGTCGCGTGGCGCCGCGCCGCAGTGCTGCCTCGACTGCACCGCGTGCTGCGGCGACCGGCGCTCGTAGGACCCGCGCCGCCGAGCAACAGCACCGCAGCGCGGCTCAGCGTACGCTGGGCGGTCTCGCTGGCGTCCACCGTAACGAGACCTCGGGCTGTTTCGAGCTACGGCCGCTGTGGCCAGCGTATAGAGACCCCTTATTTATAAGCGTACACTACGGCGAAACGGATCAGTGATATGTTGTCAAACGTAAGACATTGCGTATGTGAAGTAATTTAGCCATGAACGACGACCAAGAGATCTCTCTCTCTTAAACACAAATGACTATGTAATTCGGGTTAATACACCACGGTTTTATTACTACTAACAAAAACTGTATACATCCTTGGCGAGTATCTCATGAGTGGTGCTACTAATGTGCTACAATTCCACTAATGTGAGGGTCTACTCAAACCGGTCGATTGTACTCGACCTCGCCATTGGCAGATAAAATTTTGTATAAGTAGGTGTCCGCCACGAAATAATTAATTGGCTTAAATATTGTATTTAGTCTTGATATGTATATACTCTTTGTCCGCTGGTCACACTGCGAAATATCGGCCGAGAATAGAAGCGTATTAACCGGAAAATTCTTATATTTGTACATAAACTTGCTAAAGTTATTGTGATGATGAAATTACAGTGTAATATGTAATGAATTTTATAATATTAAATCACATAAGTCTACGCTATAACTCGAGGGTGTCGCGGGAGAAAATCAATTTTGATTACGACCGTGCAACTCTGCAATATTTAGACATAAGTTTTATTAAAAATGTCGAATAAAGCCATTTTAATGACCTCCAGCTTAAGATGCTTTGGCGCCCGCATATAACGATTCTATGCAATTGCGAACAGGTTTTACGAACTGTTTTGATACGCGAGCGAGTTTGAATCAGCTTTCGCTCCACAGATAATATATCGTGAACGGAATTATTCGTCTAAAGTACACCATATGTGTCAGATAGACGTCGAATGTGTTGACGAATTGACCGCTTTATCGACAATCTTACGCCCGGTTTCTGAAACACTGATCACCGTAGAAGTTAACTCATTAGCTGTCAAATGCCTTTACAAATGTCGTTTGAGTTGTCAAAAGGATGGTTAAACTCTTTGAATTGATCATTCTGATAATTAAAAAAATTCTCAAATCATTCTGATCAATTCAGAGAGTTTAACCATCCTTTTGTCAACTCAAACGACATTTGAATTTCAGTGTTTCAGAAACCAGGCGTTAACCAGTGAAAAGATAAACTGTTCTGTTAACTAGTTTTTTCGCAGACTAAAATGTTAGACTATGAAAAAAGTACATGAATCGGGTTGTTCACCTCAGGCATGACTCTACAATGAACAATGATATGAATAATATCGATTGTTAAATATTGATTCTTCGTAAACACCGACAAGACTGCTGTTATTAATATTAAAATACTTATATGGCAAGAAATCTTGTCACAACAAGAAAAATCCTAGAGTAATTATATTAATATTAACCACTTTCGTATTAATTATTACTATGATATTATCTGTTTTGCTATACAGATTATGAATAGTACTGTTATTATATTGTTATCTAAAGTTTTTCATGGCTAAAGAAGTGAAAATCCATTTAGGTACTTAATAGGTGCATTTATTAATTACTAAAAGTATGTGTTTAATATTTTTATATCGAGGTCGTAGATAGTTATCATTTTACTGCTTGAAACATGTTTGAGGTCACAACTATTGTCTCCGTTTTCAACCACTTTCCTATCTTGGAGAAAAGTTCAATGAATGTCCATTTATAACATATATATTATATAAGAGATATATATTATATAAGGGATTAAAATTTAGTCAACAGGAACACACCCGGAAAACACCGCATTGACTTAATTATTGTTTCCTAAGCCTGATTTCCATACCTATCCCTGTGCATTCAGTGAAACTGTAATACCAACATTAAATTTTTATTAGCAACTTGTTCTAGACATGAAAAATTTGACGGAGCCTTAGTGTCAGAAAAGGATATATCATAAATAGGCTATGATAATATTAGAGTTAAAGGCGTGCAAGAACCTTGAGAGTAATTCGCTAAAAATTGGCATTGGTACATTTTTAAAGTGTGGAGTCTTCCTGTGGCATATCAAGAATGTTGTAACTACTATATATATTGTGATAATGAATATTAATAATCTAATTATTAAATCCACATTGTACTCTTTAATATTTAAATGAAATGACTAAAGAAATAGGCCAGTGATATTTTCATTCATTTTTCTCAAAAAATGCTGTTATTCCCGTGGCCAATGGAGTTTTAACAATATCAATCACATTAAAGCATAATTCCCTTAAGATTACATTGTTTTGTAATGTTATATGTAAATCTCAGTTTCATATTATTCGATGTACTCATTTTTTAGATTAAGAATCTCCATAAATTATACACATTACTAAAAGTTCCTAAAATATTATTGGTTTACTTTATGGCCTCTAAAAAGTTCTTTCCCAAAACAACCTTTCAAGAGCCGCAATACAACGCATTGTGCATATAATGATACATCTAAAATAGGTACTTTAATGATATAAAAATTATACCAAAATCGATCGCTTTTAACTTGTACCTAAGGACTTTAGAGTTGAGACGATTTTAGAGTGTAACATCAAATATGGACTTACAAAGAACAACATGTCATATTTCGTGTCTGTAACTAGAAATAACCTTGCAGTTGTGATATCTTTACATACAACCTTCAACTTCATATTTATGTACGTACTTCATAAATTAGGCTTCCATAATTATGCTTCTGTTTTAATTTTATTACTATATATTATGCTATATTTAATTACTCCAATCTTTAAAAACTGTAAATATTTTTAAAGTAAATATGACATTTATAATATTGAAAGCTATTTAACCACGTCTAACTTTATTGTAAAAAATCAATATAATATTCAACAAAATATAAAAATCAGACATTCTACAATGTCACCTGTTAAAAATGCAGAAGTATTCATTGTAAATTTTTAAATAATCGTTTAAACTGCTTGAGCCTAGTGAAACATAATATATAATGGAATCCTTTTTTTGTATTTGTTATGACGCCTGTGTAAGAAATATATTGTGACTGCTTCAAAACTAACAATTATAAATATTAGCTTCATTATATATATATATAGATCGATGTCTTCGTATTTTTGGTATATCACTATAATCACTCCTATTTATTTTTATTAAGGTCTAATGTGACTGTAATTAATTCAACACTTGTGAAGATACAAAGTTCAGTTTAATATCATTTATTTCTATATGTTTGTAGGCTTGACCGTTTTAGTTGAAGACTAGATAAAAAAAAGAGACGAATCTTATTTAATACTTTTTGTAATTTATTAATACTATATAAATATTTACAGATCATCCTCGGTAATATGAAAAGGAACAGTATTGTTTTTCCTCAAATTGTTTTCCATTTTGATAGTTGTATAAAAATGGTTGTTGCGAACTGTTCAGTTAAAAATTTAAAAATTGTCTAATGTGGAATTTATTTCCACTAATTTAAGTGTTTATAATAATGAAGTTAAATTTGATGCATAATTTGTGTAAACAAATCCTAAATATAATATATATGTCAACCCCTTTTAAAAAGCTTCTATTATAAATTTTAAAAACCAATTTTTTATTACTAACATAATGTTTTAATTATTTGTTAATAGTTTGTATAACATATAAGTAATAAATGTTACACAACGTGAAAACACCCTTTTTGAAAAAAATATAATTTTACATTTGATTCTTAAATCAATTACTTGATAACTAATAAAATACTAAATGACGAAATTATAAATTCGAAAATAATTGGAGTACACATGTACTATCCCCCGAGGTTAATATTTTTGTACCTAATCTGAAATAGCTTTCCGGCTTTATTCGGGCCAAATTTTAAGTGAAATGGAAAAAGGAAAATTCTGTTGAAATACATGAATAGTTGAATAAATACAATCCTTGAAAGCTTTATTATTTGTGATATTTATTTTAATACTAATGTCCTACGCCAATAAACCTGAATTCCGTTAAACCTAATAAGTACCTCAGTTACGTCTGAGGAATAAAAAAAAGAAAGGAAAATTATGTTAATGATTTACATAAACACGAAAAAATGAATATCATTAATTTGTTAGGTATTTCATTATTATTTTTATCATCCAATATGTACATTCAGTAAATCGTAATATTAATTGATTAAAATGAATCACTTTAGAGTTGCTACATTTTAAAAATTTCCTGTTTTATAAGGTAAGTTTTTTGTTGTGAATATTCAGTATATTTAAATGGTGTACCCATTGATTGTCCTCTCATTATTTTAATATTTTTAGTACTATATTCCATATATAAAAAGATTATTATTATTGATACCCACAAAATTCAATGAGCATTTTTTTATTCTTATCAATTGATACACTTCTTTATAAGTATGATATAATTGAAAGGAATAAATACTAAAATATTCGTCAATTATATAAGTTATAAATAAAGAATCCTTAATGACGGAATGAAAAAGTTTGATAAATATGGTAAAAATAAATTTTGACATATATGAAATAATTACTAATCTGATTGCAAGAATTTTACACAAAAAACGTGTCAAATGTATTCCAATAATATTCATATTGCAAAGAGAGTATTGAAGTATAAAGGTAATTGGGAAATTTTGTTGGGAATTAGTTAATGTCCTGGCAATGTTTACACGTGAGCGTTAAAAATAACGTGACTTTCTAAAAGTGGCAACATTTTTAGTGATGGCCGTCAGTTGCTTAGAATGGATGTGAGTGACCGTTACTGAAAATTAGTGTAAAAAAATTACCAAGTTACATACGATTTTGTGATTACATGTGTATACAATAAATTACAAAACATCCTGAGTGTAATTGTGTAATTATTTGTGACTAAATTTGAATGTGCGATTGAATTTAAGAATGTTTGTTGTGTCCTTTGAAGTAATAGGATAAAAGTGATCATTATATTGGATTACGGATCGCTGTTTATACAATTATAGCGACTACAGGTGAGTTATAAACACACCTTCCGTTTTGGTTACTTTTACCATGTCCATGTGAGAGCTTTTGCCACGAATGCTGGAGTCTTGAATTGTCGCTAACGCTCGAGTAAGATAACGGAAGATTAGTGCAGATTGCGTCGATTTTGATAAGATAGCATTATATAAAAGTACGTGAAAATATGCCAAATTCTTTAATTTTCTGACTGTTACCAACGTTTGGAACCCATGTGAATGTTTTTATTTTACGGGTATGGTTTAAATTAGCACAATTTTAGTGTCTATATCCTCTGAATGCTTAATTATTTTCGGCATATTATGAAGTGAACGGCGGTTTACTGAATGTTATTTATTAATTCTTCTGTGTAATACATTCTCTACACAAAATGTTTCGAATTGATATTCGATTAATATTGACAACTACTTTACAAAAATATAAAACATAAAACTTAATAACAGTGGAAACAGACAAAACCTGTCGCTTTTTTTATGCAAGTATTATTTGATTTATATTACCTTTAATATTACATTTCTTTTGGCAAAAAAAATATGTTTGTACTTATTTTGGCTAATTATAGGAACTACATGCTATTAATTTATCATTAAGTTAATAATCAGTCTTTAAGTAGTTCCAAATTGAAATCACTAAGTGACACCAATTAAATTTGCAGTTTAGTAGGTACTTAAGTAATTTTTAAAGTAAGGTAATCTTTAGTTTTATTGTGTACCATTTTGAATTGATCAATACTCTCCTCAAATCGTAAACAACTGTATTTTGTCTTTCAAGCACAGTGTAATTTACATACAATGCTATAGTCAAAGAACAAACATTACTTCTAAGGCTGACTACTTGCATTTTATAATTATAGTAGACAATGAGGTAATCCTCATGTGTGTAATGATGTCACTTGCGTACTCATTATACACCAATGACCGAAGTACAAAGTTATTATTAATCATTTACATTACCAACGTCATCTGCATGGTAAAGATTGCAAGCACAACTTGTGGAAAATATTAAATTTGTGTCTACATCTGAACTGTTAATCAACATACATATTTTAGCGAAAATGAATTCTTTCCTTGGTATTTTTTTATATTAACACTGGGTGTTTTTTATAATGTGACACTGAAACATTAATAAAACTTTAACATATAGAAGTTACTGCAATTTTAATTTAGTTAATATAAAGAAAATCAAGATGTTTAAAAACTATTAGTTGCAATGTCCTCCTTTTGACATAAAAATAATGATTCGACAACCGAATTCCAATGGTATTCTCAAGTTCCAAATCCAGCTTAAAATGCACCATTGTTGCAAGGCTTCAACAAATATTATTTTCTACATGGGACAGGCTAAAATAATAATATGCAATCTAGTATGGGCCAACACCTGCATCAGATTGATTGATAGGAACACTATGATCATGAATGCTGTAAAGTACGTGAAATGACGGCCATTGTAATTAAATAGGTATATTATTTATATTTAAATATGCTATATTCACATAAAGTTGAAATCATTACGAGACAATTTAGGTTTGCCCTATCATATCTCTTCTACTATTTATATTTTTATTTAAAAAAAAGACAATAACAGGTTCCTCAAGTGGAACAATTAATTTTATGTTAATACTTTTCTTTCATCAAACTGTAAGCGTAAGCGAAAGCAAACCTATGAATAAATTGCTTTCACTTTTACAATTTAAATAATGAAACATCTTTCTCTTGTCTCTTTTAAGTACCTACTACACAAAATACTCTTAAATCTTTCACTAAGTTTATGAAATTAACTTAAATGAAATATGTTCATTTGTATCATTAACGTGTCATCGCCATATACTGAATACAAAATAGAATATCTTTATGTATCGTTTGAGAAAGTTGCCAAAATTATAAATCAACATCATCAGAAAATTTAATTTAATCACCTAATTATTGTATATAAATTCACTTTTGGCATTTATTTTTTAGTTTGTCATCTATGAACAACTTTCAGATGACCCTGAATTCACATAGTGTATAAAATATACACATTTTAAGCAAAATAAACTCACTAAAAAAGAGGAATGCAAGCAATTTATGAAATAAAATGTGTCTTTAAATTAGTTTGCTGTCTTTGTCTTATTATCTTAGCGTTATTAAACAAAATACTATTGAAGAGTTTTTCAAATACATATTTAAAGAAATAAATTGAATTTGCAATGTGTTAAAATTGTCTCAAATGAAATTCAGTCACAAAATTCTAGAGTAAAGTTTAATATATAATTGTTTGTGTATATTGTTGCTTGGTTACATTGAATTATAAACTACCGCCCATAGACTGACCTTATACGGCTTTTAAAGCAAAGGAAAGTTATCATATTTTTTATTGTACGAAATAATTATTAATTAGCAAAGAATGCTGCGTACGCGTACGTAGCGTATCTAATCACAGTCACGGGCTTTAGTTAAATTATGGCCTAGTTGTTTTTAGGGTTCCGTACCCAATGGGTAAAACGGGACCCGCTTACTAAGACTATACTCTTACTGTCTGTCTGTCCGCCTGTCACCAGGTTGATTATGGCCTAGTTGTTTTTAGGGTTCCGTACCCAATGGGTAAAACGGGACCCGCTTACTAAGACTATACCCTTACTGTCTGTCTGTCCGCCTGTCACCAGGCTGTATCTCAACTGTGATAGTTAGACAGTTGAAATTATCGCAGATAATGTAGGTATTTCTCTCGCTATTACAACAAATACAAAAAACAGATTAAAAATATATTCAAATGGGACTCCCATACAACAGACATGATTTTTTTGTCGTTTCCATAGATAATTAAATACGGAACCAGAACCATTATTATCAGGAGCTCTGGTAATAATGCAATTCGACTAAACGCGCTTCTAGCCCGCGGAATTAACGGTATTCGGGATTTGCTTGCACCGGTTAGCCGTGGCAAGGTCGCGCTCCCTGTCGCCGGTGTTTACACAACCCGCCCGTTGCACATACAACCCTATTACCTTTGTTTAGAGTGCACTATTGCTTTTCTCCGACAACAAGCATTCTACACGACAATCAAACCAATGCCCGTGTTACGGCACAAGCGTAAAACTAACGAACCAATCGCGACCTAGTTTTCGGGAACTGTTCAGATATCTGTTAATGTATCGGAAAGTTGCTATTTTAGTATTGTTTTGTTTTAGTTGTTATTTTAGTTTATTTTTATTTAAAGTTGTTATTTTCGTAAGTTTTAGTTGCATCACAATGTTCTAGATTCCACTTCTTATCCATCCAACCTTATCTAAATATATAAAACTGGCCATGTGCGAGTCAAACCTGTGCACGGTTCCGTACCATTATATCTGGGAGCCCCAATTAAATGTTTTTTATTCTGTTTTTTTAAGTAGGTTTTTATAGCGTTATTTGTTGTTACAGCGGCAACAGAAATACATTATCTGTGAAAGTTTCAATAGTCTAACTATCACGGTTCATGAGATACAGCCTGGTGACAGACTGACAGACAGACAGATAGCGGAGTTTTAGTAATGGTTTTTCCCGTTTTACCCCTTGAGTACGGAAGCCTAAAAATCGATATCGATATCGCTGGACCGATTTTGATGAAATTTTCAGGCAATCTTCAGATAACTTTGTTCAGTTTTTTTTTTCTACAGACTTAAAAAAAAAACGAGATGAGAACCTTCTCTTTTTTTCAAGCGATTTTAAAAATTCTCTGCATTGGGTTCAATTTAGCTCTCATGTGGCCCCATACAAATTTCATTGTCATCGACGCACATTACATCAAGGAATTCCCCAAAATGAGTGAGTCAGAATTTGAAGCAGTATTGTTTTTTATTTTATTTTCCACAAGCTTACCCCGCCCGCTTCGCTGGGTCAAAAAAAATAGGCACCAGATAAATAATGATCATATCATATACTAAAACCTCCGATACACGCTGCATCTTATGGTATAATCGAACCAAAAACCACCAATTATTAGTACAGATTAGTAAGGAAAACCAGTTGTCGAAGCTGGCGTCACTATGGTATTCTTTGTGCGTGGTGCTTTCACCCGTTAACTGACGTTTATGCGTCATTATTTTGCCGAATGAAGTTTCTGATTTGAAATGGTGTTGAGGCGCACGTAGTCATGCGAGCCATGCGTTCATTCATACAGTGCTGTAGTAACTGCCACACGTAGGCTAATAAAGATCCTATGAAATGATATTTTTCACTTGTATGTGATGCCTCTCTTATTTTATTAGTACATACTAAGAGGTATAAGATTTTTTGGAGGGTGAGGAGACTGTAGAAGGTAGCGCAAGGTGATCTGTAATCTGCTTAGCCCTCTAAATGAGAGTTGCGAATGTCTATAATATTCATTGAAGACTGTACTGTGGTTAAAGATCATTAAAATTTAATTGAGAAATAATTAGTATTCGAGAGGGTAATGATAATCAGTAAACGGGTTCCTGTTGTGCATTTTTTCGGCCGGTGATGAAAATGTCGATCGATTTCATTTCGGATGTAATTGAGGGCGCAATCTATCCGGGAAATTATTAGGCATGCGATTATGAGGTAGGCGTTATGATATTCATTAGTAATAAATCAATGCAACTCTACCGGTAGAATTGTTTCTTGCGTGCTAAGGGAGCTTTCCTTTGCGGTGAGTTTTGTTGTAAACTTATGAATTAAACTCCACACCAGATCTGTATTGGTCTTTGGCAAAGATAAATAGAACAAAGACTTTCTTTCCATTTGTTGTATTAACATAGATTCAAATACAACTACGATGTCTAATACCACTCCTCAGAAAGTACTACAGACAAAAAAAACTCAGAAAATAATATAGAAATGTAATTAATACACGGTTTAACCGTTTCTACCGCAATTTCCTTCGAAGCGGCCTTTAGCCGGACGTGTTAATATCAAACGGACATCCCTCGTACCGCGCCAGTGGAAACGCGCACCGGCTTTCGCAACCCGTCCCGGCGCACCGGGAAACGTGTGCAAGTGGAAACGCGCCACGGGACCGAGGCACGCGAATCGGATGACCCGCAAACCGCTCACGGTCTGCGATCTCGCCTGAACGCTTTAGATCCATATCGTTGAACAAATTTCGGGGGATATTGCGAAACGTTATAACTTTCGTAACGCGCAATGTGAGGTCTCTGTGTTCTTTCTGCGCGTAATAGTCCTTTGCAATCGAATAATGCTCATTATATTGGCTGTACGCGGTGGACAATTGAGAAACTTACTCGAGGACGAAAGTAACCGAACTTTGCGGACTGAGGAGGCTACCCATAGCCCATATTCCGAGCAGGTTTTAAGTAATGACCAAGTCTTGATAAAGGCGGAAAAACCTTGGTTGCAAGGCTTCTGGTGAAACAACCAAGCGTGGAGCTACGAGGAGGGTCATGGGGTTATGACCCCCATACACCCTTGGGATCATTTCTTTTGACAAATACAACTTGTTTCTTCTAATGTTACATTTTACAATCACGCCCTGACATAATGAGATAAAAGAATAAAGATTTGAATGTTCAATTATCGTAGAAAACTGTTTATTAACCAATTTATTGCGTGAGCCGATTGTGTCTTCGACAAACCTGGCAGCGACGACATACGCATAGCCGAAGACGTTAAGGGTTTAATGGCATGGCTTAGGGCTGGCGCAGCCTGGAGGATAATGGCCGTTCTAGATATGATAAGTAATGTTTAAGAACCTCAAGAAAGATCCGGAAGCTCTAACTTATAGGCAGTTATGTTATTACGTTACATGATGTGAGGTCATATGTTTAAGCTTGTAGCGAGATCACTAAACTCGTCGTAAGGTACCTACATGACAAAGACCGATTATTATGTACGTGCCTATTTGTTATAATATTACTACGGAAACCATATAGACAATGATAACACCTAGAATCCCTGAATGGTTAGTCGAGGATTGGTTGCATTTACCACCAGCCTTAATAGTGCTGAGCCCAACGTCCTTCTCAGGACATCAGGTTGTTTTTCCCTGCTATTATGAATCTACATCAAAAGAAATTTGTTCCATATATGATACACCTATATAGTATTTTAATTATATATTAATGGCGGCCCGATTGGCCCAGTGGATAGTGGACCTGTCTGTTACGTCACAGAGTATGGGCTCGATCCCCACTACTCGATAATTATTGTATGATGAGCATAGTGTTTTTCCAGTGTCCACGTGTTTATATAAATTGATATTTATTTATTTACAAAAGTATGTTAAGTATGTTTATCTGCCGTTGTAGTACAGGTTTTCCTTAATTTAGGAATCTAATCCTATGTGTATCCTAACCTTAGGTTAAAAACTTGTACCGAAATATATATTATTGTTATTTTTTGATTATTAATACTATTATCAATAATTATATTGATATATATCGTTATAACGCTGTATACCGTTCTATTAGAGATGAGACAATATGAACTATCGTTTCAACCTATGTTAGTATAATGCCTAAATTATAAAATTACTAGCTACCCGCCCGGCCTCGCACGGGTGCATTGTATTATACATCAAACCGCATCAAAATCAGTTGTTTTAAGTTTTAAAGATCTAAGCATACATAGGGACAGACAACGGGACGACTTTGTTTTATGCTGTGTAGTGATGTCCAATAGTATGAGAAGCCTTCTCGAATCCTACAAATACTGGAGTAAATTATCGCAGCCTACACATTTTACTGGACATCATTGCTAGTCTAAAACGTGTAATGCTCTAAAAAAACTTCGTATAATCCGCATGTTCCGCGCGGGCCGTAGCCAAGGCGGTGTTAATTTGCCCCCTCCCCCTTCCCCGCCTTCCGCCCGCCACCTCCCCTCCATTCCGAGTGTTAATTCACCTGAAAAAGGATGCATGACTTGCCGCGCATTGTCTCGTCCGCAAAGGCAGAACAATTGCGTCCGACCTCAATTCGACCGATGACCTGTCTTTTTTCTGCATAACGAAACCTAAAAAGATGCGATAAGTAACGCCCGGTTTAAGTTGCAAAAAGGATGATTAACTTTCTGAATTGATCAGAATGATCTTCAGAACGATCAATTCAAAGAGTTTAATCGTCCTTTTGGCTACTCAAATGACATCTGAAACGCCATTTGACAGCTGATTAGTTCATTTCTATGATAATCAGTGTGTCAGAAACCGGGCGTCAGTCTTCAAAAGTAATTGGGTACATATTTGTATTTTGTGTGGAAGGTGTTGGCTAATCCCAGCGACCTCAGCGACCTAGAAAGATCTATTGTAGTCTTCCCTTCTAAAACATTGCCCCCTTACTGTAGGATAACATTATCCTGTTTTTCTTAGGACGTTTTCCACAAATAAATTTCACGTGGACAAACACCCAGATCCGAAACGGTGTCCGTGGGTCACACAAATAGTCGTCTCGTGTGGGAATCAAACCCCCTATACCCAGCGCTGAAGCCAATACACCTTGGCAACTGCGCTACGGAGTCATCTTACGTATATTAAGTCTCAAGTTAGTTTATGACTGGAGACTTTTTTAAGGATTTTATTTTTATTTCGTAAAGGACAAGTTATCTGCATCCAAACAGGTGTTGATGTTGCCCATGGGCGGTGGAAATCATTCAGTCATCGAACACACTACTTAAAACGCGAAAGCAATAACCTTGCTACTTAGTAAGCTGAGCAATGCGCAGCAAATTACAAACCCGACACAAACGCGAACGTTAAAAAGCGTTGCCTGCGAAACGTCCTAATCGACCCGGTCGAGGAAGGGGACTTAGATACGCCGGACCCACCGCCGGGAGTCTCGCCGGATAACACAGCTAGTGTAACAACAAACAAAATAGTTCGCCCTGGTCTTCGAGCACGGCGAGACCAACACAATGCGTACACAAGGTACACCCACGTTTCAGGGCGGTTCTCACCGCCCCCACCCACCGATTAGCTAAAAACACAGTCGACGGCCATCGGGCCGAACATCTCGGCCCGAACCGCAACTTCGATGGCCCTTAGACGACATACCACAGCGGAGGGCCCAAACCCGTGGGTTCTGGCTAGCCCACCGGTTTTGCGTCAGATGAAGCTTTAATATTCTCGGGACTGAAAGCAAAAACATCAGTTAATTCAAGACAAGAAGCTGAGCAATTAAATAGCCAATAAAGAAACCGCATGGAATCACAACCTCTTATGCTAATCCATAAATCTCATTAGAATATATGTTATGTACCTATTTAAGCTTAGAAGAATGTTAGAAGAATGCTTCTAAGCTTAAATTCAATATTCAATTAAATATTAAATCTAATATTGTTATTAATCTATTCCTGCGGTAAAATCTATACGTTAACTTTCTATTTGAATTAAACATAACACGTAATATTACGAAAGTATTGGCAAACTGTTACTCGACATAAAATATAACACGAGTTTGGGCAATGCATAATGACATTACATTTACCATTGTACTTATTTATTTCATATTTATAAAAAAAGCTGCTTTATAGAGTTTTTTTTGTAATTTTTTTAAGAATTACTTGCACTGTCCGCCGTAACTTTTATTAATGTTTGTAAAAGTAATATTTATGACACATCTATACATAACTATTTTACTTACACAATCGTAATCTAAGATATTGAAAGTAAACTTTGTTTTGTTTTTATAACACTTTTATAACAAGTCTTCTTTGGTAGACATGACATAGAAACCTCTTTAGAGAAATCTTTCATCACAGGTGTATAGATTATCTCGTACGAAGCTAGTTTTTATAACACGAGCGGAGCGTACCCAGAACAGGTTTAGATCATTCAAACATAATACGTAAGCATTCCATGTTACATATGAAAGGTTGCAGAGCTTAGCAAAAACTCGCAAAAAGTTCGGCACTAGCTATGGACCAATTTTCATACATTTATATACCTACGTTTTTTTATCAACTATATACATACTATCCTAACATGCACAACTCGGATATATTTTATCATCATGTTTAATGTAGATGTAGATTTTATTATCATGTAGATGACTATGTGGCGCAGTCGTCAAGGTAGGTATTGGCTTCGGCGTCACGGGTCGTGGGTTCGATTCCCACACGGGACAACTATTTGCGTGACCCACAGATAGTTTTCTCGCATCTGTGTGTTTGTCCACGTGAAATTTATGTATGTAAAACGTCCTTGCAACACAGGATAATGTTATGCTAAAGTGAGGGCAATAAAATATAAAAAAAAATAAACATACCTCAGTCATGTATTGTACATCCGTATTGTACTTCTATGCTCACCCTCATAAATGATCACTCAGACCATTCAGTCTGACGCTCAGATGGCTAGGCGGATTGTGATATTTATGCCTTATGTTGGTACTAGACTGTAGCGTAGTTCTAGCTTGAGTATTGCTCAACTTGATTGAAGCGTAAAACTGCACAGTGCTGCTGTGTTTATAATGGTGAGAATATGAGAAAAGGATACAATCGGTGGTATTTACTTACTCGAATTTGAACAGTGATGTAGTCTTAGGTGGTAACCGTACTAGCTCCGTAAGTCTATTCTTTCTCACGTTGTACTCGGACGGAAAAAACTGTCACCGCCGAATGAATCCACTCTGCTACTGTAAAGTAACAGTCTGCGTTCCACTGCTGGGCATAAGCTCCCACTGTACAGGGCATAGTCCACCACGCGACCTCACCGCGAGTTGCCAGTATTCACGCATTCTTTTTAGTGAATTTTTTTTGTTATTAAATATGTACTTGTAATGTTCACAATCAATTGCTAAATTCAAAAAAAAAATTAAAGGATCGTTTGTGTGTTAAAGACTGTTATAATGTTAGTGGTTATTTAAATGATAACACACAAAACAAATTGATCGCTCCAGCCTATTTCAAGGGGATTATAATACATTGTAAAGGTCAGTGGTTTTATTTTCCGAACCGTGGTAGCGTTTTGACAATCAATAAGTAGGTAAGCGTAATGCTATGAATGAAAATATTTGAATATGAAACATAATTATATATAACCATAATTATATACAGCGTGTCGTTACCATCGCGACAATAAATGAACACACGTCTAACGCTACTTGCCAATAATCATAAAAAAATATTAACGTTAAACAAAATCC